TCCTCTCTATCTAGGACAGGCAGCGAGATGAGGGTGGGCAGGTGTGCCCCTTTGCCCGCTCTGTCTCTCACTCCGCCGCCTGCCCCTCCTCGCTCGCTTTGCATCATCGTGATGGTGTGCACTGGGCCACACAAGAGTCCCCCACCGGGCTTTTCATGGCTTTGCTGATCTGGCTGGTCATTGCCACTTCCATTTTTCGCCTGCCTTTTATCTTCTCCTCTCTTGTATTTGGTTCTCCGTGTTCTGATCCTAGATGTCGTTTGTTTTCTACTGGCCCTTCTCTTTGTGTCATTCACGACATCTTCTCGTCCTACTTTTAGTCCAATTTACCCATTTCATGCACTTACACTTCATCCTATTTCTCTTCTCTCGTCCTCTTTCTACCTTCTTCCTTCATCTTCTGTTTTCTTCGGCCATCTGTCACTCCTCTCCTCTTATGTCAGAGGCAGGACCTGCAAACATATAAATATACGAGGCCTCCGCATTTTCAGCCAAAAGCTCGTCTGTTGACGGATGTCCTTCCCTTTTAATTCGGTTACACTGCATATGCCTCGCAACCTCCTTCAATATCACTCGTCGACGCTTACTGGACCGTTTCTTGTTACAGCCTTCTACAACTTCATCTGAAAAAAGGACAGACAAAGGGACAACCAAGGAGCGATGCACAAAGCAGAATTTACAAATTTGAAATCTGAAAACCGACAAAACAACGTCAAGCGACAGACAGCCTCCTAACTCTTTGGTTCTTCAATATTGCGTGAGACGGGCAATACGAGGCTGTGGCGAAACATTGTTTCCTTCCTCTTTCATCTTTCTTACCCCCCTCCTTACTGTCGCTCCCGCATGATATACCAATCACTCGCTTCATATAGACGGCCAAATTTCTCGCACTTTTATTCCTTCCCTGCTTCTATTTCTTGTCTTCTTTGTCTTCTTTATCGTCCTTGTCTTCTTTGTCTTTTTTGGCCGCCTGTCTAGTTCGGTGCAAACTCATTGCCTGCCTATCCGTTCTCTTGCCTCCCATACACACCATGGTGCACGGCCTCGCTGAGTCGTAAGAGACATAAGTGTACCGGCATCATAACTTCGTCGGCCAGGGCCGATAAAGAGGCCAAACTTGCACAAAAAACAGAACGAAAGAAATCCAAGTACACCCTGGTCATAATCACAAACATGCCTGCGTCGTCACACTCGTCAGCCGCGTACGGATGGCGCGAGTCGTGGCCGCCTGCGCAGATACATTTACAGCCAGCCGCGACGACCGGCGACCGCAGAGGGGACGACGCCGCCACGGTTAAGGAGGAGACCGGAGGCGACCTCCACAACGATAACATGCAGCTCACCGACGACAACCCGCTTGTGTACTTTCTCACCCCAACACCTCTGCTCTCCGTCGACGATGACGGCGAAAGCTACTTTGTAGACGACTCAGATTCGTCTTCCATTTTTCATGACAACGAGCACGATGACGATACCGGTTTCTATTTCGGCACCAGCATGGACTTCGAGTTTGATGCCGGCATCGAGGATGACACGTACCCGCAGCCCATTATCCGCAGCGTCAGCCCGTCGTCCCTGAGCGGGACCCTTGGCAGCGGAGGGCGCACTTCCCACACAGTCATGCGGCCGCCCACACCTCCTCACTCGGCGACAGCTCGCCAACCCGGCCGCCAACCCGGCAACAACAACCTTACTGGAGCTGATCCCTTAATGTTTGATAACATGGACACCGCCGTCGTCTACGAAGACGGGGAGAATTATATCCACTTTGGTGACGGAGACTACTCAGCCCATCGCAGCCCATCGTCCTCGCCGACCATTGACCGCACGTCTTCTCGCTCCTCGAGCCACGCCCTGTCGCCTCCACCTCTATCATCGTCACCGGGCGAACCCCGGTCGCTACCGGACATCCACGACCTATACACACACCACCGCCTCAACAACTCTCAAACACACCTCTCTGTCGCTGGTGCCACGATTGTTCGGCGCAGGTCGCCGCGGTCCTGGCGCGTGCCGAGCCCAGACGTGTTTTCCATTGAGGAAGAGACGGCAGAGGAGCTGTCGTCTGGTGTCGCCGCCTCACATGGCCACCCAGGGCGTCCTCATCACGACCACCACACCTCTGAAAGACATCTACACGTAGAGGCTGCAAAGCCGCCCTTGAAGAAGCGGGTTCGTTTCGTGCTACCCGGCGAGGAGGTTGCACAAGGAGCTTAAATTCCTTTCACACCAGATGCTTGTCCTTTATCTACCGTCGTGCTTTTTTTTTTGTCTTTTATTTTCGTTACCCAAGCTCTACACGCATTTAGCTTGTGGCATAATTGTCTTGTATCTGCATCCGGCGGTGTTGGAGGTTCCTCTGGCTAGGGTACCGTGTTTTATTTTGCTGCTGTTTTGGCTTCATTTTTCTTCCTCGCTGTCTCGGCTCCAGTTCCTTGTCTTTAAGCTTTTGGGTTTCTGTTCCCTGGACTGCGTCACAACTTGCATTTCATCATGGTTCATTTGGGTAGTACCATCGTACGTTTAAGCCCTTTGCGCAGACAATAAATATTAGCACACTTCATCTCCAATCTGTATTTCTATATATAAAAAAGCGTGATATCCTCGGGTTTGCCATGACGAAACCTAGATCTTTTACTCCCGATACAACAGGCCATCGACGATCGCTTTGTGCGCATCCACAATTACGCGGATAACTATGGGACTACATATTTGTGCCCAATGTGGTAGTGACAGGGGACAGATTGGCACCCGTCAAATACCGGGAAATCATGTGGGAGCTGCGGACAGTGTCTGGGCGGGTCGAAAACAGGGCAACTCCCGACTTATCCGTTTGGACAGTTAACTTTGTCGCGTTTGCCATGCCAGTCGCTCGCCAAGGGCCAAGGCGTCTTAATATATTTGTTCCATGGCACTTGAAGCGCCTGACCATACCGCTCCAAAAAAGCCAAGGAGCATCGCTTGACACGGTGAGTGGCCTTGCGATCTTGCGATGATACTGTCCACGAGTGAGAAAAGGAATGCATAAGGCCGATGATGCGGGTAGCCTATGAACAGCTGAAGCGGAAGCGCAGAAATTTTGCAAGAAGGCTTGGCCTGATTTCAGCCAACGACAGACCTCGACAGGACTTGATTCCGACTTTACGGGACATGTTCATCAGCGCAAACGACCATCCTGTCATCCAACAGTGGTCTGTTTCAGGCCTGTCAAAATTGTCCGTTGCTGGGCAGCCGCACTCGAGCTGCGGGGCCCTTTCGATCTTTCCTCACCTGCATGTTGTAATATCGGCTGGACCCACCCCCTTGCCTTCCTGTAGTGGCGCGCGTCGTAAAAGGATCGGGCTTTGGGAGAGGCTCAGGAAGCTAAACCCAAAGCTCTCTCGAAAGAGTGGGCACGTATGTTGTATCCCTCGCCGAAAAGCATGTATGGCAACCTCGTATTTATTATGCTGCAGCAGAGGACTTTCGCAAAAGCCGAGTGGAACATACCAATGCGCCTTGAAGATCAACAGCTGACTCTTGCAAGACAGGCCATATTACGGCTACAGGATAATGACGACGTATTATTACTGTTTTGCTAAATGAATAGGATCTTGCTCCTGCCTGTTTGATATTCTGGTTTTATTCCGTACTTTGGTCGATTTCCAGAGTCGCAGCTGCTGCGTTAGCGCCATCGACAAACCTGCTCCATCGTACCTTCTGTTGTAGGAGGGGCCAGCCCATGCCGGAAACGCCACCAGCGCTCAATGTTTACTCCTGGCTGCTCCTCGGCACGTCATTGGTCCGGACCAACCCTTGGCCGCAGCGCAAACTCACCTTGTCGAGGACTGAGGGCCCCCTACCAGAATGGCCGTATCTTGTCGAGTCACCACTCCATTGTTTGTCTCTTGTAGTTTTTGTTTTGTTTTTGTCCCTGTTGCCAAATAGAGACAGAAATACGACAACCGAGCAATCACGAAGTGAATGAGGGCACAAGCTACCCTGTAAGGCTAGCCGGTCGCTCTTGCCGCCACATTTGACAGGATTCCAACACGCCTGCCTTTCCGGATTGAAGCTTCTCTTCAAATCTGTGACCTCTTTCGTCATTGTCATCCCATCGTCCCTTCCCTGCCATCTGCGTCAGCAAACCTTCATTTTTTTAAGAATAAAAAACTTCCGCACACGATATACGACCTCTGTTATCGACCTCGACGACCTCTCACAGACAATCATCTTCGGTTTCCTTCTCGCTCGACTCCCACTCTGCCGATTATTTACCCATCTTCCTCCATCCGCATTTCTGTCCCTGCGAACTCGACTCTGGCCTCAGCCATCTTCAAATACCTTCTTTCCACCACACCTCCACACGGGTTTCTACAGATTCGTTCTCGCGGCTGTTTCTCGGAGACTACAACTTCTCGACGTCACTGGCTACCATGTGCTCAGAGTCCCGGGCTCAGCTCTGACCAATTTGGCCCGTTCTGTTGTGTAGCTCTTTTGCTATCGATGTACTCTGGATCACAACAGTAGAACAAGTATGCCCTGCAGCACTTCGGTATGTGTTACCAGCTGTCCTCCCACAGCTCCCATTGCCTCTTGTTCCCTCCTTTCTCCTCGTTTCCTCCGTCTGTTGTATTGTTCAGGCCTAGTCGGAAAGCGGTGCAAATCGGTCACGGAGAAGGAAGCAGAGGCACGAGGACAGTATAACAAGAGCACGAGCAAAGACGTTGCGCGAACTCATGGTTCGGATCGATCTGGATCGCTGCCCTTTAACGGCCTCGCTGATCTGCCGTCGCTCATCACCCTTGTTTTCTCTTCCGCGTTCCATCTCTCCGCCCTCTTTGTGTACCCCATGTGCGCGTCCATTCCAGTGGTCGAGAAAGAAAGCCTCATGCCCAGAACGAGGAGGGCTGTCATGAATCTTCGCGTAACCAACTAAGGAATGCAACTAACCATTTTGTCAATATTCCCCGGTCTCTTTTTCGCTTTCTAGTCCAGCATTCCTCCACAGCTAGTAGACCATGCCTTCTGCTAGTCAAGTCGCCGGCGGCGACGACGACGCTTCGTCCTCCTCGTCGCCTTCCTCAAATCCTTCCACATCGACATACCGGGCTGCCACGCCACAGAAACAGAAACAGACACCTGGCAATGACGCGCCTACCACTCCCAAAAATCGAAATGCCTCTGCTGGTCAGACTCCTAGGAGTGCGCCTGCCGCTGCTGCCGCAGGACTTGGTGCCGTGGCCGGCGGTACCAACCGGCCACGCCGCCTCTCACAGTCCCAAAAAGTCCAGCCTACTCTCCTTACTGACTTCTTTCTCGGCCGCCCGTCCCAAGCTCGTGTCCAAGCGCAACGTAAGAAGATGAACGATGTCGCCGCAGTCAAGGCAGAAATGCGCACAGCTATGCGCCAGTCATCTGTTATGAGACTGCAGCAACCTGGCGGTGTCCGGGACCGCGTCAAGAACTGGCAGAAAGCAAACGCTGCTGCCATGGCCAGAGGCAACCCCGAAGCCGAACCAAGTGAGCCCACGGATGTCGCAGCCGGTACTGACGACCAAAGCGTCACGGAAGAAGACCGCATTCGCATACGCGCCCGCCAGAAACTACGAGCCCCCAAACAACCGGCGGCTAAGAAGGAGTATCCCAAAACCGACGGCGAAGATAACGGTCCCAGCAGCGGGTTGAGAAAAAAAGGCAAGGCCGGTCTCAATGACCGGTCTGGCAAATCAGAAGGCGGCAACGAAAGTGATCCTGGCTATGACGTTTTTGAAGATCCTGGACCCAAGTTCCACACGGTGAAGACTCCGAAAGGAAGGAAGGGTCTAAACGGGGTGATCAATGCTGGGGAAGGTAGTCCGCCGAAGAAGAGGATTGTTAGTGACGAACACTGGATGAAGCGGAGAACCCGAACCTCGCCAAAGACCCGAAGCCCTAAAACAAAAGCAGGAGCTGCCGCTGGAATTGGATCTTCGATGCCAATCCCGAAAGATTTTCTTCAGCGGACAGCACAAAATCCGTCCGTCAAAAACAAGATCAAAGACTGGGCAAATAGAGTCGAGCCGCACAGTCCCCCGAAATCGCCACGCCGCGACTACCGCAAAGAAAGTCCCGTCGGCGAAGACGACGAGAGCGATGTGACCAAAGGACCGGGACCGACGAGCTGGCGTAGTGCGCCTGACGACGGGATCCGCGTTCGCCCTATCCGCTCCACGAGATCTGCAGAAGACAGCCGGGCTCGGGAACAACAACGTGCAGTGAAAGACAATACCACTCGATGGAAGAAGACGCAAGACGATGACGGCATCCGCATCAGGCCAATGCTACCCAATGAGCCGACTGAGGACATCATCGAGGTGATTCTCTCTGAGGAAGAAGAACAGGTCACCCCCCGCAAAAAGAAAACTATACCCAACGACGGTATCCGGGTCCATCCCAGCAGGGCTACGAATCCAAACGGCGACGCAAAAGAGAACTTCAACAAGCGCAGAGTCTCGGCAACAAAAAAGAACGCGCCTGTTTCAGCATCCTCGCAAGAACGTCCCAGGACCGAATCTCTTGGTACATCCACTACGCATAGTGCACCGACAGAGAGCACACAATTTGAAGAATCGTCCCTAATTCCGGTTGACTCCATCACCGAGGAGTCAGAGTCGGTCCTCCGTACCCCGACAAAGAAGCCCGTTCCAAGACCTCGCCCAAGGCTAAAGGTGAAAGAGCCATTGCGGCGGAGGCGCAGTCCAAGTCCGACTGAGACTCGAGGTGACGAAACGATGACAAGGAATGGGTCTTTCCACGAAGGCTCAGTGGGATCCTGGTCTGACAATGACGATGACAGCAACTCAATTGCTGACTCCTACGGACCGTCCACCGTACCACCAAAATCCCTAGCTGACATTCCCGTGGGATACTCCGCCTTTAGCGAACTTGATTTACCTATTCGCGGAGGAGGCGGCAGGGGAAGGCCCCGAACTGTGCGGAAAGAGAGCTTCAAAGGCGTTCCCAGTGTCCTGAAGAAGGTTGTCAGCGAGGGCAAAAAGATTCTCCACGACAAAGTTGACCCACCCAAACCTGTGGTGAACCAGCCTCCGAGCATCGAAAACTGGCTGCACGGCACAGTTGATCCTTTTGTTGAGCCGACTCCGGCACGTAAGGTCTCATCAGCGCAGGCCCGCCAGTCGACCGAGACGCAGTGGAAGAAGGATGTACAGAGAAGGTCGACCTCAGAGACTCGGAAACGCGACATCGGACGGTCCCCCACACAGTCACCAAATGAAACCCGCAGAGTGAGCAGCCAGAAGGACTCGGAGTTCAAGTCCACGATTCAGTCCGAGACGGAGCTTACTACCACGGACACTGTGACAACTGCGACAAAAACGACGCCTGTTAAAACCCGCTCCTCTCCCGCAACGACGCCGGAACCAGTTCCAGAAACCCCGAAATCGAAAACGGAGCCTGTGAGCGGTCTCAAGCGGAGCGGAGCTACTAGAAGTGCACCGTCTCCTCTGAAGTCGGGAAGCGCCAAGAAACCTTTCAGAGAACTTCTCCGCGACGCTTTCCGAGGCGAGTCTGGTGTGGTATACAAGCCAACAACGCCAATCCCCAGCTACGAGACCGTACGAGACCGCAACCGGTACTTGGGAACGGAATCTGAGGATAGCTATGAAGACACCATTGACGAGTGTAAACCACGCCGTCGCTCATCTGGTGCATCATCCAAGAGCGGCACGCTGACTGCTTTCACAGAATCGGCTGTTGATTCTGGAATCACTGAGAGCAGTGATGGAAGCAGCAGCTTTGTCAGCTCTGCCACGCCTTCATCGGGCCTTCCCAGGCGTCGGCCCCCGCCAACAAGCGGTGATCATGAGTTGTCAACGATTGTCTCGGTCGAGTCGTATAGCACACAGCCATCCGACACAATGTCCACAATCTCTGAGTCTACTGTGACGCAAGATACCATCCTTACGAAGGGTTCAGGGGATCTTTCGCGACAAAAGAGCCAAAAGTCGTCCACGGGCCTCAAACGGCGCCTAACCAAGCACTCCGACCTTGTGTCCGTCTTGTCACTGCCAGAAGACTCCCAGCTGCCGGCACGTACAAGAAGCATACGCCTCGCTCGCAGCCTACACAGAAAAACAAGCAAGCTCGACAACGCGAACCTAGACGACCTACTTTTGGAGTTCCAAGAAGACGAGAACATTTACCGACGAGAACTCAAGACGCTTGCCAGTGGAGTCATCCCCGTTCTGTTGACCCAGTTCGTCGACGAAAAGGGCGACGGCAGGGCCGCAGACGTTTTCCGTGTCGACCTCTCCAATCATAAGGCCGACATTATGTCGAGAGCCGTCGTCAACATGGGCGTAATGCTTGAGAAATTAAGTCTGCTGCATCAGTTCGTTCCCGTCACTGATGCGCCCCGCATGGTGGACTGGCTTGAGAAAGTCTATCCAATCTACGACAACTACCTCGATGTCTGGCGACTGGGTTTCCAGGGCGTCATTGTCAACCTAGCACCAGCGGCTGGCAAGTCGGTCGAAGAAGACTCGATGGTCAACGGCATGGAGCGCAACGAGGAGGGCGATGTCCTCGACGAAAATGGCGAGAGGGTGGACGTCGCATATTTGCTGAGACGCCCTCTTGTGCGAATTAAATGGATGTTAAAATTTGCAAAGGTAACTTCCAACAAACACGTCTCGAGTTTTTCTTTTATTCTCGTTTCGCTAACATGTCTGTCCAGGGCGTCAACATTATCCTCGGCAGAGGCGTGGCTGGCGATATTGTCTACAAGCTCGAAAACCTTCTTGAAAAGGCAAGACGACGCAACCGGGAAGAAATTGCTCGCAAAGTGGACGAAGATGCAAGCAGTACCGATACGACACGGGTGCGCGACCTCCGCACCCTTGCCGTCCTAGACAATGTCAACATCGACCAAACACGGCAAGTGAGCGCCAAGGATTGGTTTGACTTGAGCCTCTCGCACTCCAATGGCCAGAGACTTGACTGCCAAGTCGAACTTATTTTCCGTGACAAGATCAGTGATGCGACGGATCAGGGCGATGTCCTGATCCGGGAGACTGGTGGTGGCGACCAGTCTTGGCTCCTCTTCCCTCCGATTCCCCGGTCGCAAATCTCAGCATGTAAGGGCCAGGATAATCTTTCGCTCACGGTGATGATTCGTGATACCTACAAGGGGCGTGAGTGGTACGAGCTCATTACCGTCGTCGCTGAGCTCGACGAGACAGCTGCCGACTGGCTGGACATACTGGGAACGAGCCCAATACCACCGCCAGCTTCAAACCGCTTGTCCCTGACTCCCCGAAACCCCGAGGAAGCAGATGTACCTGTCGGCGAACGCAAGTTCAAGGGCGTCCTCGAGGATGAGGCGCAAGTCGACAGCCTAAGATCTCCGACGACGCCTACTCGGTACCACAAACGACGACCGTCTGCCCCGGGGTATCCTGCTCGCAGCGGCTCATCGAGCCACCCACTGCGTGAGGACATGCACCCGGATCCATTACAGCTAAAGTCTTCAGCAAGTGCGCCGTCTATCCGTGATGATGGCGCTCCTCCCCCGCCTGCTCACCGTGAGCCGGTTACAAAAGCGACCCCGATCATCGAACCTCCCGTCGATCTCAATCCCCCGGTAGCACGAGTCCGCCGTCGCACATCATCGCCCCTGAAGCACGAATACCACCCATCCGACATTTCGTCAGGGAGCGATTCGACATCTGACAGCTCTGGCTCTGAGTCTGACTCGTCATCGGACGAACTTGAGGAGGACGATGTGCCCGACACACTTCCTGGCATCAGCATTAAGCAACCGGACCTCAGCGCCGCAGAGTCGGTTGTTTCGGAGAGTAGTATCACACCCTCCAATTCTGCCTCGCAAGCTGGCCTTCCTGGACTCCAAGCATCGTACCCGTCCGAGTCCAATCTGCAACTTATGGCCTCTATTTCCTACTGGTCCAACAGAAAGGGCCAGTGGAAGGATCTTGGCGAGCCTTTCAGCGCCATTGTTATTTCGCCCGGCCTGATCGAGGCCTACGTACCCGGGACACATATGACAAGCACCAAGCATAGCCCCGGGTTCAACAGTCAAACCACACTGGAGCTGGAGGCTGGAGCACCACGGCCGCTCATCGCCCTGGATCTTACTCCCCTCGTCATGATCAGACAAAGCACAGTCGTAGATCTAGAGATTCGGTCCCCTGTTCGGTCATTTGCAAAGTACTGCCACCTGGACGCAAACATTTTCCGATTCCGAACACAGTCACCTGCCGAACTTGGCAAACTTTATGCAGCAGTGCATGAATCCCGGATGAACAACGCCAAGTTCAAGGCCCTCGAAGAGGAAGCGCGTTTCCGCTCCTTTGGCCAGCCCCAGCCGACGGGCGACGCAGGCGACGATACGAGCAGCCACCGTCGCCGGAGCTGGTTTGGCCGCAAGAACAGCTACCGCGCATCGACACGAGCACCGTCGCAGTCTCAGGGTAGCTCGTCCAGTGTCTCGGCGACCAGCTTCTTGCGGAGACTGACAGGCGGTGGCAACACGGCCTTCAATATCAACGGCTCTTCAGTAGACCGGCAAAGCCGGGCTGGTAGTGGCGGAGCCAGCTTCTACACCTCATCTGGATCCTCTTCCGCTGGCGGTGGAGGCTTCTCGTTCACGGCCCCTCGGTCGCCGTCTGTCAGCCTTGCAGAGAGCAGCAGCCGTGGTATCCAAGCGCTTGGGTCATCAAACATCAAGATGCGTTGCCACTTGCAGACATCTGCAAACAAATGGGAAGACCGCGGAAACTGTTTCTTGACAATTGCAAGACCGCCTCCCGGCATGCGTCAAGAGCTGACCATTTACCACGGCCTCGAGAAGCGTGTATTGGTCGTGTCGATTCCCAAAAAGGCAAACGAGAAGCCGCTAGTGGTGGTCGACGTTGTCGTCGGCAGCGCGTGTTTCTCGAGACTGGCTGCAAGAGGCATCGTCCTCAATGTGTGGGAGGAGATCCGCGACGAGCAGAACCGCGTGGGCTCTGTGCCATCTACGGGCGCCGTCAGTGGGCGTGTCCGCAAGTGGTGCTTCCAGTTCTCCAGCGCCGCCGTGGCCAGCTGGGTTTTTGGACTTGTCGCTTCAGAGGTCGAAATTGCGTAGTGTTTTCTATGCATATGATCATTTGTTGTTATTTTTTCGTATTCTTCTGTTCTTATTCCTTTGTTTTCTTATGTCTCCTTTTTATCCTTTTGATTCCAACTTTTACAGGTGTCCTGGATAGAACATTATGATAACGTTGGTGATGTTTTATTATCGTTTCTTGTTATTTGGTATTTGTTGACTTTTCCTTTCTTTTTTTTTTGGTCTTGTTTCGAAAAACAACTTTAATATCTTCTTGCTTTCTCTTTTTTTTAGTTTTCCTATCGGATAGGCGAACGGAAAGGACAATATCCAATACCCAGGTTGTGGTGTCGTTATTTATAGTTTTCAAAGGCGTATAGATCTTTTTGAGTTTACAATAAACAATGTTATGGACCAAGTCTGTCGTGATCTGGACGCCAGCGACATAATGATTGAAGATGCACGATCGGCCGCTAACAAAGGCCGTCGCCAACAAACAAACGACATGGTCGTTACGAAGGAAACTTGATAGCTCGAGCGGCTACGACGAGATTGAGCAGTGATATACAGATAGATGGGGAAGGGGGGTAACTTAAACGCTAGATAACCAGTCTGATGCATTATGCTGACCTGTAGCATAAGTCACGACTTATAAAATAAAAGTCACATTTACATTGAATCTATGATCACACTGAACATGTCCATGTAGAATGTCTGCTTGTGAAGCAGCTGTCGTCGTCTCTTGACGTTGGCAAGATAGGTGTAGTAAGAAAGTAAAAGAAAAATAAAACCCGGGTATAACAACAAAAAAACCGCTTGCAGACGCTGGAAAAAAGTGTGAAGATGCAAAATATGGGCTCCGAGATTGTGAAAGAACACACAACAGTCGTGGCTGCTCTCTAGTCAATGTCCATGGCGTCCGAGTCGCCGTCAGCTTCGAACGGCCGCGGCGTGTCTGCAGGTGTGCTCGCCATGGAGGCGTCCGTCTCGGGTTGCAGTGCCAGCTCCTGCTCCGCCTTGTCCTCCTGCTGCCGCTCGCGAATTCGTGCGCGTGCGTCTAGGATGGCTTTGCGTACGCTGTCGCTCTCCCGCGGCACAGACAGCGAGCTTGGATCGTTATACAAAACAAGCTGCATACCGGCTAATTCGCCATCTTTGTTGGGCAGAATGGGACGTGGGATGGCCAGCTTGCCCTTGGTGGAGCTGCCGGACAACGCGGCCGTCCGTGCTGCCAAGCGAAGATGCTTGTCAATATCGGGGAGGAGCACGAGTTTGCCGTCACCGTCTACATCGTCCTCACCGGCTGCCGTATCCGTATCCGACGCCGAGCGCTCATCGTCGGCCAACTCGTCGTCAATATTATAGATGTAGACCTTGTACTTTGTGTCATCAACCCGCATGTCGTCGTCTGCGCCAACACCGTTGAAGCTTCGGACAGAAGATCGTTGTGACCGTTGTCTGGCGCTAGATGACTGTGATAACGGAGGAGATGGCGGTGCACTGTGTACTGGAGACATAGAGGCATTGGTCAGGGCCACCTCTTCCGGGATTGATGGCGGCACATTGGGCGCATCTTGAGGGGCCGCCACGGGTGGTGGCTGAACGGCAGGTGTTTCCCGCGAGCTCTCAACGGGAACGTATAGCTTCGGGCCCGAGGCTTCTGGTTCCGTCAGCATCGGTTCCGAGCAGTTGCGGCTTCGATCCACAAAGTATTGCAAGACTACTCACCCAAGTTAAGGAGACTCAGCCGCTTGGACAGTCGCTCGTTACTCTCTGGTGTTTCCACAGCCTTCCGTTTACCGTGCCGGGCTAAGCCGGCGTCGACCGGAGCCGACCCATTGGTGGTATTATTGCGACGGGTGCCGTTGCTGTTCGGATGCAGCATCATCGTTCCTTTGATAGCGAAGCCGGCAGGGGCTGCTGAAGTGCTGGATAGTATCAGTATCGCGGGGACAGCTCGCAGCTGCCAGACCAGTCAATTGGGTGCGTCGTCGTTCCTCCGGTCTCGTCCTTTTCACCCGCTCCTCCTCATTGCACAAATCGGGTCCTGTCGCCCTTCCCCCGCGCCGTATTTGCGTCTATGTTGCCGACCTCCAGCGGCCTTTGAAGTCCCCGTCCGTAACTGTCTCAGCTTGCTCCCTTGGTGCCTCGCAGCTCTGATTTTATCTATCGGGCCACTTGAGCCGCTTGTTTATCTGAGCTCTAGAACCGCCTGCAGGCCGAGCGCGTATCTCGAACAACGTGTACTGCCAATAAGCGCCACTGGACCTAGTTTCTCGGCGTACAATCGGATAGCAGGCAAGCAAATGTCCTAGGAGGGCATCCGGGTTGGTGTGGAGAAGAGACGAGACGGCTGGAACTGGAGGTCGCGTGGCTGAGGGATGAGGTAGGTGTTTCAAGCAGGCGTCGGAACGGGTCGCTGCACGGTCGTGTGGGCGATTGCTGTGGATGAGTCACAGGTGCTGGTGTTTTGAAGATGTTTGGATTGAAGGCTGCATTCGTTGTGTTGCAGCTTCTTATCTTCTTGGCCTGAGATGCGACGGTCGCGGTTACTCATTTGGTCGAATTGGTTGTCTGACGGCAAGCGACGGACATGGTGGTCGCGCTTTCCTTTTGTATGGGGCACAGGGCAATGCTTTCCAGGGCTCCTGGCATGGCTGGCAGTGCGGCAGGTGCGCCCTTGTTCGGTATTGGCGTTGACTCATCCTGCACAACCGTTCTGCGACGGTAGTTGCCCCTCAGGCCATTTTGCCCCGCGACCTGCTATCGAGAATGTTCCTTCCGTCTCCAATGGCCAGAACGCTGGTGGAGAAGCTCGAGAAGGTACAAGTGCCACCACTCCTTCCCAATCGGCGACTAGCAACCACACACCAGAAGTGCACTTGCGATTTCTTTGTTTTTTTTTTTCAAGACTACGAAAACTACAAAACCGGCAGGACTTAAAACCAAACCAAAAACCTTTGCGCTCTACCACGACACCTCTTTGCAAATCTCTACCCCAGACCACCACTCCCACGAACACTTCCCGACAACCGCCACCACGTTTTCTTTGCGTCTCCGTCCCGGAACGCTGTTTGCGACCCTCTCAACTGCCTCTCGCCCCGCCGCGCGCCCCAGACGCTTTCTCTCGTCCGCCCCCGCCGCAGCCATGGCCGAGACGCAGAAGTGGACGGGCACCAAGGTCCGCCAGACGTTTCTGGAGTATTTCGAGAAGCGCGGACACACAATTGGTGCGTGGTGGCTGTGGACCACATGATATGCGTTCTCTGGACGTATTTGCTGACCTGACTCCTTGACAGTCCCTTCGTCGTCTGTCGTGCCCCACAATGACCCAACCCTTCTTTTCACCAATGCCGGCATGAACCAGTTCAAGCCCATCTTCCTCGGCACAGTGGCCAAGACGGACCCTCTTGCGGGACTGAAGCGTGCTGTGGACAGCCAGAAGGTGAGTGGAATATCTTATTCTCGTCGCTTCGTGTCGCCCCTCGAACTATGACTAAACTATTCTCAACCAGTGCATCCGCGCAGGCGGCAAGCACAACGATCTCGATGACGTCGGCAAGGATAGCTACCACCACACCTTCTTCGAGATGCTGGGAAACTGGTCTTTCGGCGACTACTTCAAGAAGGACGCCATCGAGATGTCCTGGGACCTGCTCACAAAGGTCTTCGGCCTCGACCCCAGCCGCCTCTATGTCACCTACTTCGAGGGCAACCCGGACATGGGCCTCGAGCCCGATTTGGAGGCCAGAGATCTTTGGAAGTCTGTTGGTGTTCCTGACGACCACATCCTGCCCGGCAACATGAAGGACAACTTCTGGGAGATGGGCGACCAGGGCCCGTGCGGCCCTTGCAGTGAAGTCCACTACGACAAGGTTGGCGGCCGTAACGCCGCCGATCTCGTCAACATGGACGACCCGCTCGTCGTCGAGATCTGGAACAACGTGTTTATCCAATTTGATCGCCAGTCCGACAAGTCACTGAAGCCGCTGCCGGCAAAGCACGTCGATACCGGCATGGGCTACGAGCGTCTCGTCTCGGCTCTGCAGAACAAGAGCTCCAATTACGCCACGGATATCTTCACCCCGCTTTTCGACCGCATCCAGGAGGTCACGGGTGCCCGGCCGTACACTGACAAGTACGGCAAGGACGACGTTGACGGCATTGATACCGCGTACCGTGTCGTCGCCGACCACATCCGTCTACTGACCTTCTCCATGGCTGACGGCGCCGTGCCCAACAATGAGGGCCGTGGCTATGTCGTGCGCCGTGTGCTTCGGCGAGGCTCTCGCTACGCCCGCAAGTATTTCAACGCCGAGATCGGCTCCTTCTTCTCCAAGATCCTGCCTGCGCTTGTTGAGCAGATGGGCCACCAGTTCCCGGAGATCATCAAGAAGCAGGAGGACATCAAGGAGATCCTGGACGAAGAGGAAGAAGCATTTTCGCGGACGCTGGACCGCGGCGAGCGCCAGTTTGAGAAGTACGCCTCTGTCGCGGTTAAGAACGGCGGCGGCGCGCTGTCTGGCGCCGACGTCTGGCGCCTGTATGACACCTTTGGTTTCCCCGAGGATCTGACACAGCTGATGGCTGAAGAGCGCGGCCTGACCATCAACAAGGAGGAGGTCGACGTGGCGCGGGAAAAGGCCCGCGAGGCTAGCAAGTCGGTCAAGGAGGCCGTCCAGACTTTTGCCAAGCTCAATGTGCACCAGATTGCCGAGCTAGAGAGCGAGCATCACCTGGAGCGCCCCAACTCCGATGCTAAGTACCTCCGCGGCGACCTTGTCAGCAAGATTCAACTCATCTACACGGGCACGGGTTTCGCCAAGAGTACCAAGGACATCCCTCTCAACACGCCCATTGGTATCCTGCTCGACAAGACCAACTTCTACGCTGAGTCTGGTGGCCAGGTTGCCGATACCGGCCGTATTGTGATTGACGACGTTGCTGAGTTCAAGGTGTTGGATGTGCAGGAATTTGGTGGCTACATTGTGCACAACGGCTACGTCGAGTACGGCGCGCTGAGTGCGGGTGACAGCGTCATCTGCGAGTTCGACGAGCTGCGGCGGCAACCCATCCGCAACAACCACACCGGCACGCACGTGCTGAACCATGCGCTGCGTGAAGTCCTCGGCGACGAGATCAACCAGAAGGGCTCGCTCGTCGACCAGGACAAGTTGCGCTTCGATTTCTCGCACAAGGCCGCCGTGTCGCTCGCCGAGATCAAGAAGATCGAGGACATGTCGAACGACGACATCCGCAGCAACCTCAAGGTCTACTACAAGGATGTGGACCTGGCCAGCGCGCGCGAGATTGAGGGTCTGCGCGCCGTCTTTGGCGAGACCTACCCCGACCCTGTGCGCGTTGTGTCGGTCGGCAAGGACATTGATGAGATGCTGAAGACGCCCAAGAACCCCGAGTGGCGCAAGTACAGCGTCGAGTTCTGCGGTGGCACGCACGTCGAGCAGACGGGTCAGATCAAGGACTTAATCATTGTTGAAGAGAGCGGCATTGCCAAGGGCATCCGGCGCATCGTGGCCTACACGGGTGACGCTGCACACCAGGCCCAGCGCGAGGCCGTGCAGATTGGAGAGCGTCTGGACGCACTCGAGGCGCTGCCGTTTGGCTCTGAGAAGGAGGCAGGCGTCAAGACGTTCGCCCTGGAGCTGAACCAGCTGGCAATCTCGGCCTTGACCAAGGACGAGCTGCGCACGCGGTTCGCCAAGGTGCAGAAGTCTGTGGTTGACGAGCAGAAGAAGCGCCAGAAGGTGGAGCTCAAGACGGCCGTCACGACGGTCACGGACCACTTTGCGAAACCGGAGAACAAGGACGCCAAGTGGTACGTCGGCCACCTGCCCATCTCGGCCAATGCCAAGGCCATTTCGGAGGTCATGAACCACTTCCGTAACAAGGACAAGGAGCGGTCCGTGTACGTCTTTGGCGGCAGCCCGGATGACGGTGTCGTTCATGGTGTCTATGTTGGCACGGTATGTTTTATCACCACGCGGCTCCTGTCACCCCTATATTTAGTTGACTGTGTTTCTTTACTAACAAGAAGTAGGACCTCGCATCCAAGGGTGTCACCGCCGAGCAGTGGTCGACTGCTGTCAGCGACGTTATTGGCGGCAAGGCTGGCGGCAAGGAGCCTGCACGCCAGGGTTCAGGGACGAAGCCCGAGAATCTCAACAACGCAGTTTCGCGCGCGGAGGAGTGGCTGTCGGAGAAGCTGAAGGAACTGAAGTTGTGAGTGGTGGAAATGGAAATCAAATAAAAATCGTTTCTATTTTCTTAGCGAATAAGGATCTGCCCTCTTCTATCATATCGCCTTTTCATTTTGTTTTCATCTGTCATATTGTTTTTGACTTTTTTTTTGGATCGTGGGACATAGGTTGCAATTGGGAGAGGATATGCAGTTAACTTCTCATGTACCGAATATATGGAATATATTCAAGTTTCATGGCTGCATTATATATGTTCGTTTTGTGTCCTTCACACCGTTGATAGCACACTGGCGTTTGCGTACCAGCTGAGCAGAGGGTTCTCGCCACTGCGCGTCGTGGTGTTCTCGATCTGTGCCCAGTGACGCATAAACTGCTCGTGCGACTGGACACTTGACAGCTTGCCAGTGATGGCGCGGTATATGGCCTCGACGACGCGGAAGTCGGTGGGGAACATGATGTCAAAGTAGCCCTGGTGCACAAGCGGCGTCGACACGGGCACGGGCCGCCGCTGGAAGCGCGTCTGCACGATGGGTGCGTTGAGCCCAGCAATCGTGTCCGGTAGCGAGTGGAAATCGCTCGTCACCAGGCGGTGTGCAGGGAAGTACTTTTCGAGCACATCGAAAAAGGCCAGCAGCCTCGTCGGCACGTACTCGGGCGGACTCAGATTGGGCGCAAAGGGCATGAAGTTGTGCTTCAGCGAGCGCAGCAGGCGGCTCGACGAGTACGGCAGCGGGAAGCGGCCCTCGGTGGCGGCGTTGCGCACACGCAGGAACCGCGCCACCTCTGGGTCGAGCTGCGGTTCGTAAAACTCGTACATGTCGCCATTGGCCGCGAGCAGCACGACGCCCTGCAGCGGTTGCTCGGTCGTGATGTTGTAGCGCAGGCAGTCGTGCGCAAAGTTGTCAAACACCTCAAAGGCCAGGAAGAAGCACGGCGACGGCTCGCGGGCAGTCCAGTCAAAGATGGACTGGTTGATGATCTCGACGCGGCCAGCGTGGCCCCGCGCGGCAGCCGCCGACGCCGCCTCGGAGGAGCCGCCGGCTGCGGCTGCGGCTGCGGTGGCACTGCTGCTTTTCTGCTGGCTGCTGCCGCTACCGCCGCTGCCAATATACAGCTGCCGCTTCTGCAGCGCGGCCAGGTTGGACGAGATCTCAATGATCTTGTAGCGTGTGCGCTCGTAGACGGCCGGCTCATTCGCGCGCAGGTAGTCGAGGATGTTGAGCATCAGCGTGCCGCGGCCGGCACCCATCTCGTAGATAATCAGGTCGTGGTACGGGAAGCTCGTTAGCATGTAGTTGGCGACGAGATAGCGCGCAACGGCCTCGCCGTAGTACGGCCGGAACAGCTCGGTTGGCGTGTACCATAGCTGGCGCGTATCGGACGGCTCGCCACCCTGTGCTACGGCCTCGGCGTCCAGCCTGTCCTCAAAGTCGGTGTATCGCTGGCCCAGGACGTCATGGAAGGCAGGCTCATCGCGCATTTCGCGGAAAGGGAAGGGCTCCTGGCCGGGCGAGAAGATAACGACTTGTTTGGAGAAGTAGCCGTAGTGTGGGTTGTAAAGACTGTCTAGACGAACGTTAGCCGGTGGATGGCCTTCCCAAGTCTCAAATGAACCGGACGCACGCACCCTCGATAAAGTCGCGCATCAACATCTTGACACGCCTTGGGCGTTCTCGACGTTGCCGCAGCTCTTGTGCCGTCACCATCGGGTACTCGGCGTACTCGGCGGACATGTCTTCCGGGTACATGTCCGTGCGCTGCTGCCAGTCACTCTCGTTGGAGCGGCTGATCCGGCCGCTGCGTGGTGCAGCTGCGTAGCCCCGAATCTGGCCATGGTCATGCTTTGGGGCGTGAGATCTTGGCCGTGAAGCAGGTCGTGAAGCTTGGGAAGATCTCGCCGCCTGGAGAGACGATGCGAGACTGGCAAAATTGCGCCGTGGCAGACACGCTGGATGGCGGAACAGCTGTCGGAACAGGCGCGAGACGAGTGGAGAGTCCATGGGCGGTCGGTAGACAGACGTGGAGAGCCCAATTGCTGTTTACATTTGCTTCTGTAACAGGGGAAATATCAGAGGCGGATTCAGATGCGGATTGGCGATTTTCTCTCTTTCGTTTTTTGGTCGTCTTCCGCTGTGGATTCTGGTTCTGGAAAGCGCAACTGCTGGTTGGCTCGAGCTTCCTGCCAGTTTCGGCGGGCCTGGCCGAGCTTGTGGCAGGCACGACTCAGGCTAGCCGAAGCCAGAAGTACAGAAGGCTGTCACTGTTTTTGGGAGGGGAAGTAGCGACCATATGTCGTCATGGACAGGCGAAAACGAGTGCCATAAAAAGGGCAATTCTACACTGATGAACATCAAACAGCACACGACATACCCAAAAAGACAAAATAACAAACAGCGCCACTCGATTGGTACAGTGTCCGGCACAGAATGTCTCTGCAAGACCACCCGAGGGCCTACGGCGCGGCCGCTCTCACGGTGGCGTTTGCAGCGGGCATTCTCGTTACGCTGGGCTTCAAAGACCTGTACCCCGATCTGGAGCACCGGTTTCAAGACAGCCTCGCGGAGAAGAGGAGCCAGCGGCGGGCAGCAGCTCTGCGGCGTGGCATGAGCAGAAAGAGTGACAGTGGAGGCTGGCTGCGCCGATCGGACACCGCATCGTCGACCCTGACGACCGGCAGCCGCAGGCGGTCCAAGAGACGGCAAAGTAGCACCACCGAGGCCGGTGTTGTTCTCGAGGACCACGAGTCGCATCCCGTCTCCTCTGACGATGAGGCCGACGACTGGTCTCTTCTAGCTGCGTCCAGTGAGCTGCACCAGGGCACACCGCCCGTGGCCGACGGCATTGCTGGCTGCATCGGCAACACGCCGTTGATCCGCATTCGCAGTTTGTCCGAGGTGACAGGATGCGAGATCCTGGCCAAGGGCGAGATGTTCAACCCGGGAGGCAGCCCGAAAGACCGCGTGGCTCTCGGTGTCATCCGGGCAGCTGAGGCGCGTGGACTGCTGGTCCCATACCGTGGCGACACAATCTACGAGGGCACATCCGGCAGCACGGGCATCTCGATTGCGACTCTGGCCCGCGCACTGGGCTACCGCGCGCATATCTGCATGCCCGACGACATGGGCCTCGAGAAGTCGCAGCTGCTGACCGAGATGGGCGCCGTGGTGGAGCGTGTGCCGGTTGCGCCCATTGTCGACCCGGGCCACTTTGTCAACCGGGCGCGGCGACTGGCAGACGAGCACGAACGCCAGCACGACGACGGTAGCAAGGGCTTCTTTTCGGACCAGTTTGAGACACCTGCGAATGCCGAGTCCCACCGTCGGGCCACAGGTCCAGAGATCCTTCGTCAAGTGGCCGCCTATTCTGGTACGCGGGAACACCAGCTCCACGTCCGCCAGCTTCAGCAAAATCCGAATCACGGGCCGCACCATAACCAATCCTTACACGTCCATTCCCCACTGGCTGCTTTTGTCTGTGGTGCTGGTACAGCCGGTACGCTGACAGGCGTTGCACGGTACCTCAAAGAGGATGCCGGTCTGCGCGAAGGCATCCGCATCGTTGCTGCCGACCCCCAAGGGTCCGGTCTCGCCAACCTTGTCCGCAACGGCGTGCTATACGCGGCGACCGAAAAGGAGGGGACACGCCGGCGATCGCAAGTGGACACCATTGTCGAGGGCATCGGCATGAACCGCATGACGGCCACGCTGGATGCCGGTCTGCACCTGATTGACGACGCGGTGTCGGTGACAGACACACAGGCCTGTCTGATGGCACGTTGGCTCGTCGAACATGACGGCATTTTTGCAGGCAGCTCAACCGCGGTCAATTGCGTCGCGGCCGTGGCTGTAGCTCTCACGCTTCCGCCCGGCAGCCGTGTTGTGACGGTGCTGTGCGACACCGGCCTCCGCCATCTGAGCAAGTTTTACAAAAAAGTGGGTGAGATGAGCGCACGGGACGAGGCCAACGACAAAACAGGCACCGTGCAGCCAGACTTACATGGTGATGACCTGCTGGGTCTGTTAGGGTTACCATCTCGGAAGAGCGAATAGGTCAGGGGGTGAATTGTGAGTTAATGTGCGAAGAATGACTCTATGTACGATACAATGGAAATGAGAAAAAGGCAAAGAGACATGACGACATTATACTGGCGATTTCTTGATACATGTCTACATAGGCCCAGTGGGAATAAAATGGGTTAGATATATGAACCGGAAAAGAGAGAAAAACACCCCTTCAAAAAGTGCTACCATCACCGCCGCTGTCTTGCCAAACTTCACAACTTTTATCTCTTAATATCTACCATATGCGCTTTTCGGTCTCCTGTATTCTTTCTACCCGGAAGATATGTCAACGGCTGGTAATGCATTTAAACATTAGACAGTGGATAGACAGACATAAGGAAAGATAAGTGATTGAGAAAATGATGAAAAGAAGGAGGCAATTCCAAAAAAAAGGGGAAAAAAGGAGAAACAGAAACAGAAGCCGAAAACCAGGCCCGTTACACCCATTGCCGCCCCAACAATTAAAAACATATAAATCAGTACACGCCGACATAAAAGCACAGCATTCAATGTGCTCACGAGAACTATGGTCAATGTTAGTATGAACTCCATAACGTGACTTATAGCGATGATAATAAGGACCGCAGCCGTTGTTGCCTACCTTCCACCGGTGTCCGCACACCATACACTCGCAAAACGTCGTCATAGGTTCATCAGCACTCCGCGTCTGGGCCTGCGTGTAGCTGACCTTCTTTTGCTTGCACTTGCTGCACGTCAACGCGTCGCTGATGGACTTCTCTGTCATCGGCACCTGCGCCTTCTTCATGTTCTCCTTCGCCAGGTCCGACTCCAGCTGCTTGAGGTGCGCAGACTTGAGCTCGTCCGACGTCATCACCACAAATACGTCGGGAGAAATCTCGCCGGACACGACTCGCCGTGCCAGCGCGGGGTTCGACCGGTTCTTGAGGTTCTGGAAGAGCGACCGCAGCTTGGCGCGGTACTCGGTGGTCTCGCCCTTGTAGGCGACAAAGGCGGCCTTTTCGACCTCGATGGCCTTGACCAGGATGACGTCGGTGGCCTCGACCGAGCGGTAGGCCAGGCCGTTGTACATGAGGCCAATACAGTTGTCGCGGCTCTGGATGCCGGTGCGGTTGACGTCGACGCCGTCCACGTCGAACTTGCGCTTCTCCGGGTCGCCCTTGTAGCGGCCGGACGTGGCAGGCGCAGGCGACGCTGTCTTGCTCTGGGGCGTGCTGGCCGAGGGCGAGGCGGTCTTGCTCGCTGTTGTACTGCCGGCAGTGCTGCCGGTTCCGGTGCCGCCCTTCTTCTTGCTGGCCTCGACGGCCTTGCGCCATTTGCTCACGATTTCAGCGGCCATCGACTTGACCTCGGCGTTGGCGTGCGTCCGCAGCTTTCCGACGATATGACCGGCTTTTGTCGACTAGAATGGAGGGAGAGTGCCCGTTAGTTTCAGGACGAACGCAATAGACAAAACCAGGGAGCGCAATCTCCAAATCCACACGTACCCGCAGCACCTCCTCGGAAGGCGCGGCGCCCTTCTTCAGCGTCTCCATGATGGCTAGGATACCCGGCACCGGCTCGTTTGAAGTCACGGCCTTGTTAAGCGCTTTGATGCGCGTGGTGAGCTCGCGCTCAATCGACTTGTCGGACATATTGGGGATGTACTGCGAAGAGAGTTGGGTTGAGGCTGAGGTTGAGGCGTTTTCGAGAAATTTCGAAAGAATATAAAGACGGAAGGATAGATCGTCGCAAGGCTGACCGCTGGCTGGGCGTGATATGGAAGAGGCTGCTGAGCAGGCGGGTGGCGATAACAGAGGTCTGTGGCGTAGAGGACGAGGGAAAAGCCAAGGACGGAGGACGCTCAAGGAGAGGTGAAGAGCGACCAGTGTAGGTCGACGGTCGCACAATGCTATGAGAAGAAGGCGGAGGCCGGACAGTACCACGCGAAACAAGGGCGTGGCAACGGGAGATCGACGCAGGGTAGGGAACGTCTAAACGCAGCGAGGCCGGAGGAACGTGGTCGTCAAAAGGAACAACAAAGAAAATAAAAAGACAAAAGACACAAAAAATTGGAGCTCGTGCCGGTGGCCACGTGCCAAGATATGCGCTGGCGGAAAACGTTCAAGAACACAGGAAATAGAACCCGGGACCAAAGTGCCGCACACGAACCCGAATTGTCTATTCGGTCGTGGTTCGTAGTAGTGAAAAAAGAGGTGCACGTACAAGTAGTCTGGAGAGGCGAGGGGAGTTAAGACAGCGGCTTCTAGAATCGAAGTCGCGCCCAGCCAATGGGTATTGTGGGTCCGAGGCCCTTGCTGTATTATATAAGCCATTTAAAGCAGTCCATCACGTGCACCTCATTTTGGACCCACTCTCAGCCTTGTGCCAGAGCCGCAAGGCTGCGCATCCACGAACGACCACTTGACGATAGGAAATCAACTGTATAGAAAGAAAGAACATGGGGTTCAGATATGGAGGTATTAAGCCTGGAAAATTTGTATGTGACAAGAGGCGATGATCAAAATCGCGAATTGTGTCCCTTTGAGTTCTGGACGAGTCGTGTTCGCTCGTGTTATTTTGCCTCTCCACGAGCTGCATCGACTTCCAACTATTTGGAGAAGGCCTTACGTTGTATATGTAGCATTAGAAGAGCCAAAAATAAAATAAATCCTCAACTTTTAATAGTTTTTAAAAGCTGGCTTTATCTCTTCAATCGGTACTCTCAAAATTTGGCCTCTCTTGTCAGTATGCTCTCAGAATGCACCCTCTGCAAGTCGTCCGAGTCCCGCTATGACTGCAGGTCGAATATTTTTGGATGGTCTGCCTATTTAACGACACAAATTTGCTCGTATCGTCTGTCGCCTCCATTTTAGCTCTTCGTCTTTTCTTCTTTCTTGAGCTACATACCTTGCTCTTCTATACGATGAGCTCACTTGCTCTCATCGAGCGGCATTCAACATCCGAGCGTGCGAGCCGCCGCCTGAGCCAACCGTCCATCTTTCAAACCCCTGCCGCCTACTAGTCACCCAGCAGCCAACCACGCGTTGAGTCTGCGTCTCTAGCGACCAAAGTCACTATACCATTGCTTTCTGTGCGAAGACTGATGTATGTCACTTGTTTCGCCTCCGTTTTGTTTTGTATTTATCAGTTTTTGACAACCGAAAGTTAAAATCCAGTAGTCTTCCCCTGCCGCCCAAGAGCGCCGACGAGCAACCGAGACCAGACTCAGGGGAACGACTGCTCTAGAGACCATATCCGCTGGAACACAATCCGAAACAAAACAGGGTAAACACTTCGCGAAACCATGTGCTTCATTGAGTTTGTTGGCTACACGTGCGGGCACACGTCATTGCCTGTCCTGCGGCCGTGCCCACTGACCACGGCAAGCCACACGTTCCCGGCCTGCTCACGCCGTGGTGACAAGACTTTCTTTGCTGGCGAGATGTGCTCCGCCTGCCAGAAGATTGTCCACAGCCGCGCGACACAAATTGAAGAGTATGAACATCGGTTCATGCACGAGCGCGGCGTCTGTGGCTGCGAGACGGTCTTCCCGTACCTGATCCGGCCCCGCGTGATTGGCAGCTGTGACGGTGGTGGCAACGAGCACACAGTCACTAGCTACCATGCCGGCGACTCTCATGGCAGAACAGATGTCTGGGCGGGCGATGGCGCCGACAGAACCTCCGAAACGCCCGATATCCCGGAAACCACCGAGATACAGTTGCCGCCGTTACTTTGCGAGGCCACAGATCCCGCTGGGCGCACGACGGTGTCCGTCCGTCTCTCCAGCTTGTACGCGGCCGAGTGGGTCACTGACCACCGCGCGCGCCATGATACCGGTCTCTGTCAGTGTCGCATCGACTTTCGAGCCTATAAGGAGGCCAAATGTGATGGGATCGAACGGCCCGAGGTCTGGACAGGCGAGACCCAAGCCGAGAACGACACTGGAGCGTCACGATCTCTCCGTCGAGCAGTCTCAATGTCGGTGATATCTTCCAGCAGCGACAGCGAAGAATTCACGACCCCGGCGCGGCAACTCACACGCAGCAGCTCGCACGACGACTTTTCGTACTTCTTGGCCGGAGACGGTCAGCAGGCCAATGCCTCCAAGGGCCTTGTCACCGCTGCGGGCGCATTGCAAGATGCACTGTACGACGCCCAGGGTAGCCAAGACCACGTCGTGCAGGAGGACGGGTTTGTCGTAGCCCACACACCAATTACACCACTCCCCAGCAAGAGCGTGCGCTACGGAGGCGCTGTCTTTGCCGAGGTGCCCGAGTACCTCCGGCTTATGGGGCCTTTCTTGTCCCAGCCGTCTCCATACGCCCCCGGTAGCAGCGACCAGGCGGTGATGCTCGATTGTGTTCTCGACGAGACTGGTGGGGAGTTGACCCTGTTCGAAGGGCACAGGAATGAAGGATTTAGCTGGGGAGCCGACCACGTCCAGAACCAGTCCAGACAGTCAAGCGGACGGCCCCGGGCCCGGACGATGGCCAATATGAAAGAGCACCACGAGCAGCAAGCCCGCATGAGAGTTCCACTTGTCGGTTTCCCAATTGGAGCAGGCCCGGAAGGCGTCTCCCACGCAATCCCGTGGCGCAATCGACCGCCGTGTTGGAGACGCTCTTGAAACAAGAACGAAGTTGGGGCGGGGAAATTAGGAGGGCGAAGATGACATGCTATGACCCGGTTAGAATATTGATGGGTTGGCAAACGCTGCAGACCTGGGGGTGCTGTTGTTGCAGAATGTTTCCCCAAGGGGCTTGAAAACCCTGGTAAAGACGTTTGGTTGGGTTGGTTTGATGTTGTTTCCGGGATTTAAGCGATGATTTTTTTTATGTTGATGACAAACGACCTAGACGAAAATGATTTATGATTAGCTCAAGAGAATATGAATTGGGGGCTTTATTTTGTTTTGTATTGTTTCTGCTGTTGTTGTGGACTTCTTCATAACCGGGAACAAGCAATTGTGTGAGCCGTGTTGTCGCTCGTCTTGCCCGTCTCCAGAAAAGAGCATGATAAAAAAGTAGTAAAAGTGAAAAAGTAAAAACAAAATGAAACATAAAAAAATGAAAAAAAGTAAATGATGATAATTGCTTCGCATATATACACACGATTCCTCCACTGCGCGCTGGTCCAACGCTCTCCAAGCGATTCATTTCTTATATTACCGATCGACCTCACCTTGAAGAGAACACGTATTAGTAGGGGGAGCTAGAAAATAAGAGACGCAGGTCAACGGAAAACCTGGCAAGACTTACCAAACACCAAATCCATCGTGCCAATCACGGCCACAGCATCGGCCAGCAGATGGCCACGGGACACATGGTCGAAGCCCGCGAGATGGGCAAAGCCAGGCGCACGGATGTGCACCCGGTACGGCCGCTCGCTGCCGTCGCTGACCACGTACACAGCCATCTCGCCCTTGGGCGCCTCGATTGCGCTGTAGGTGTCACCGGGCGGCACCGCATAGCCCTTGGTGTACAGCAGGAAATGGTGGATCAGCGCCTCCATGTTCTCCTTCATGGCCGCACGCGGCGGCGGCGACACCTTGTAGTCCTCGACGCGCACGGGACCCGCGGGCATCTTGTTCAGGCACTGGTGGATGATGCGCAGCGACTGGCGGAACTCCTCCATGCGGCACAGGTACCGGTCGTAGCAGTCGCCGTTGATGCCCACAGGAACATCAAACTCGACCTGGTCGTACGCGTCGTACGGCTGGTTTTTGCGCACGTCAAAGGGGACACCCGAGCCGCGCAACATGACACCCGTGAACGACAGGTTCAGCGCCTCCTCGGCGGACACAACGCCAACGCCCTGCAGACGGTTGATCCAGATGCGGTTGTCCGTCAGCATCTCCTCCGTCTCGTCAATGCGATCGCCAAACTGCGTCGCCCACTGGTAAATGTCGTCGAGTAGGCCGATCGGGATGTCCTGGTGGACACCGCCAGGGCGGACATAGGCGGCGTGCATACGCGCACCAGAAACACGCTCGTAAAATTCCTATATGCCGTCAGCGTCGTCAGCTTTCAGTCTCGGCCCCATCGACCCTCAACCCAACGAAAACTAAAAAAGAAAGAAAAAAAGAAATAAAAAGCGGGCGTACCATCAGCTTTTCGCGCTCCTCGAAACCCCACAGGAAGGGTGTTAGGGCACCGACGTCCATGGCGTGCGACAGAACAGACATCAGGTGGTTCAGCACGCGCGTAATCTCGCCAAACAACGTGCGGATGAACTTGGCCCGCTGCGGGATCTCAATGTTCAGCAGCTTCTCCACGGCCAGCGAGAAGCACTGCTCGTTCGTCATCATGGACACGTAGTCGAGCCGGTCAAAGTACGGCAACGCCTGCAGGTACGTCTTGTACTCGCACAACTTCTCCGTGCCACGGTGCAACAGGCCAATGTGCGGGTCCGCGCGGATAATCTCCTCGCCGTTGATCTCCAAAATAAGCCGCAGCACACCGTGAGCAGCCGGATGCTGCGGACCAAAGTTGACTGTGTAGTGTCGCATCTTGCGGCCCTCGACCGTGTTGTCCGTCACAGGCGCCTTACTGTACTCCTCACTCGGCACCTGGCGCCCCAACAGATCCTCGGGGCTCGGCACCTGGAAGTCTTCGCCGACGGGCACAATGCGCGTGCCCTGGCCCTCGTACGGCGACGCATACCGGCGTTGCGTGGCGGTCGAAAACGCAGCCCGGAGAGCTGGTGTCCGTCGTGCCAGAGCGGCGGCAGCCTGGACTTTAGGGGACGTGGAAGTGATTGGGCGCAGGCACAGCCGCTTAGCGGTGCCACGGCCGGCTAGCCGGTAGAGGCTCGACATGGCTGTGATGGCCCCTGCCTAGGTCGAACAGACGGGTTATATCGCTGCTGATAGGCGACAAGTTGGCGAAGGATCGCAAGCCCGGAAAAACGAGTCAAGTTGTTTGAGGAGGGGAGATTGGATCGACAGCTGTCGACGGGCGAACGCAGCGCACGCGTCCCGGAAAAGATTGACGGGGTTGACAATTCGCGTCCCCGATGCGAATTGCACTTTCGGAGCCGGTGTAGGATTGCGGAGATCGGTCGGGGAGAGGGAAGAGACAGCCGTATGTGCCGTTCAGTGCTTCAAAATGTCTCGCGCCGTCCAGACCGGAGCTCTTCACCCAGGGAAGGAAGAAACTACGACCGGAACAACTGGCCATCCGTTCGGACCCGCTTATCTTCCGCTTCGAGCGAGTCACAGAGCTTCAATTACATTGGTAGGTTTCATTGGCCAATCGTTCATTTAGTGGGTCAGACTGACCTGGCGTACCCCACCAAGAGTTCCTTCCCGGCGAGAGCAGGCGAGCGATAAGGCCCTTTGCTTGGGGCGATAAAGAAAAAAAGTTTTGCCTGCATTTTGGCGCGACAGCCTTCTCTCCTCGACGACACCACCACAACCGCATCGCCATGCAAACACAATGGCACCGCTAACGAAACCTAGTCAAGAAGAGGTCGACCGACGGAGGGTGAGTAGCTCCTTGCAGGAAGGTATTTTTATTTGCATTTTTTTTCTTGCCCACTAACATCGACCTCGTGCAGACGATTGGAGTCAACCTCGAGACGGTCACAAATGTCTCGGCCACCGAGTTCCCCGGCAACTACCCCGGTGAGGACCTAGCGTGGGACGTCGACGAGTTCCGCGACAGTCTGAAGGTCGTATTCCACAAGAACGAGCCGTGCGATGCGGCATTCTCGATCGTCGGCATCGACGCCAGCGTCGCCAACGCCTTCCGCCGCATCATGATCGCCGAGATCCCGACGGTCGCCATCGAGACGGCATTCATCGATAACAACACCTCTGTGATCCAGGACGAGGTGCTCGCACACCGCCTGGGCCTGATCCCGTTCCGTGGCGGCAAGGACGGCCTGCGCAACTTTATCAAGTTCTGGAAGCGCCCGGCGGCCGACGCCGACCCGAGCGAGTTCCCGACGTCGTTTGACTACAACACACTCAAGCTGGACCTGCGTGTCGAGTGCACGCGCAACGCTGCCGCCGCGCCCGGCGAGACCGACCCCACGAAGCTCTACCACCACGCGCACGTCTACGCCAAGGACATTGTGTTTGTGCCGGAGGGCCGGCAGCCTGAGTACTTTTCCGGCGACGACGCCATTGTGCCCGTCAACCCGGACATTCTGGTGGCGAAGCTGCGGCCCGGCCAGGTCATTGACATTGAGATGCACATGCACAAGGGTGTCGGCGGCGACCACGCCAAGTTCTCGCCCGTGTGCACGGCGTCGTACCGCCTGCTGCCCATCATCAACATCACGCAGCCCATTGTCGGCGCCGACGCCATCAAATTCGCAAAGTGCTTCCCCGAGGGCGTGATTGGCCTTGAAAAGGTCACAAAGAAGATGGCCGAGCAGGACAAGGCATACGCGGAGCACGTGGGCGAGACGCGCGCGACTGTCGTCGACCCAATGCGCGACACGGTCAGCCGCGAGTGCCTACGGCACCCCGAGTTCCAGGGCAAGGTGAAACTGGGTCGGCGCAAGGACCACTTTATCTACTCGGTGGAGAGCACGGGCCAGTGGGACAGCGACGAGCTGTTCCTGGAGTCGGTCAAGATGCTAAAGGCCAAGTGCCAGAAGCTGGAGAAGCAGGTCAAGAACATGATCCGCTGAGAGGCGGCCCAAGGTGTGTATTGTGGAGCGGCTTTGCATAGCATTTACGGCATGTTTCTTTTTGTGTCATTTTTGTCGTTATTCTGTCCATGGAATTCGTTCGGGCTTCTTTCTCTGGTGTCATTTGTTTGCTGCATCATACATAGACGGGTTGTATTTAAGTACCCACGGGGTGGAAACACGGCGTTTGGCATATCAAATATCGAAATGGAGTCAAAGTTTGATGAAACAAAAGGTCCCTCTTTCTTTTTACTGAAAGACTGTAGTTTGCTATGTACTGTGTGTAGTATCATTTACTCTTCGTTCGTGCATCATTGGACTGCCGTCTCACCTTAATTCACGCCTTGGACGTCAAAATAAAACTAAAAACCAGGCTCGGGAACGCAGGGTCTGTGATGACCACTTCAAAGCCGTGCTCTAGTTTTAGATCTGTGAGGGTCTTGTCGAGGTTGGGCCGCGTCTGCTGCTCCAAACTCGGCGGACTGCGCATGTAGAGAGTCTTGCCCTCGGCGCGAATCGACGGCTTCTTCAACTGCGCCTCGGGGCGGTCGCTAAATGAGTCGAGGAACTCGCCGAGCGTCATGTTGAGATCCGTCGGCAACGGCCGCGCCTTCTGGTCCTCGGAGCACACGGGGCAGTCCTCTTTGCGCTCGTGCTTGAATGTGTACGTGTAGATGCTCTCGTTGCCCGAGTACATCATGTAGTTGGCCTCATCACCGAATGGGGGCACGACGCTTGTGGCGAATTTGAGGACCTCGTTGCAGCAGCTGGCGGCGATGACGGCGTTGGTCGACGCAATGGCCGGGATGATGTTCTTGACGACGCCCTGCGTCAGCGCGTACGTGACGCCTGCAATGTTAAACTCGCTGGCGCGGATCAGCGCCTTCTGGTACAGCCACGAAATGTGCTCCGGGTCGTCCTTGTCGAGCGCCGGGAACGGCTTCTCCTTGTCCCAGGCGATGACGTGGGCCCATTCGATGCAGTGTTCGGGCTGCCGCGGAATGCTGGCAATCGTACACAGCGGCACAGCAGCACGGGGTGCATGCATGTCGAGCTGGCACTCGATGCAAGACGTGATTGACGGGATGATGACACGGGCCTGGCCCTTGAAGCCTTCGGTGCCGCCGTCGATCAGCGGCTTGATGCCGTCGTTTGTCTCGTCCGACTCGGCCATGCTGACGAGCGTCGCGTTGATCCAGCGCCGCGCCTCGATGCTGTCCAGGCCGCACACGACGATCTGGAACTGCATGTAAAAGTCTTCGTCAAAGTCCTGGATGCGCTTGTTGTGCGGCGTGATGGTGACGCCGCGCACACGCCGCATGACAAACTGGGCCGCTACCTCGGCCTTGTATTTGCCAACATCGGACTTGCGGAACAAGAACTGTCGGTTGAGGTTCGAGATGTCGATGGTGTCCATGTCGATGACGTGAATGTCCTTGAACCCCGACAGGGCCAGGTCTTTGAGGATCTCGCAGCCCAGGCCGCCGGCGCCGATTACCAGGATCTTCATTCTATCGACACTCGGGATTACATTCTCCGCCTCGTATCCGGCCTCCACGGGCGTGAACGGCCCGGCGGTTGCCCGGACCCGGTCCAGGTATTTCCTGCAGCAGCATTCGTCAGCATCAAAGACTGGTCAGGCGAGCAAGTGCCGGAGGAAGCCGTGGCGGTTAGGACGGTTGGGACGGTTGGCGCATCTGTTCGCAAAGCCGACCGGGACATACCATCGCTCAGAACGTGTTTCTACCACAGTGTCAGCCATGTCGAAAGAACAAAACGCGGCCCTTTCCCGGTGTTGTCTGTCGTCGAGATGAGGCTGTCGTCCTGTTACAAATCGCGGGGCGTTCGACAGCTGCCTGTATTACCTGAGCTTTAGGCGATTGCAACAGCGCCAGGAGCTTATCGATAAGCTTTACAGCGCATTCGCTCCGCTATAACGTCAGCGGTCACAGCCAAGTTAGTGCCCAGTGGAGCAAGGCTTCATCCAATCTGCGCACCGCCGCCCTTCACTTCATGCGACAAACCAAGCAACAAACACATGCCGCTCCGTTGACAAGCCGAATCGTCAGTGTCTTGGTGCACACGTGGGCTAAACATGGCTGCACTACTCTCGCCCGTCAGCACATCCTACAACAAGGCGGCTGCACACGACGAGCCGTTGCTTCAAGAGGTGAGAAAGACGACGACATCTTTGTCGCCAACGACAGCTCCGACGTCAACGCCAAAAAGACTGCACTTTGCGGCCGAATCGGCTGACGAGGCGCTGGATATTTTGCGGAACGAACCCGACTACGATTCACTTGTATCAGTCCTGCAGTACCTTCTCTCTGGCAAGTCCGAAGTCGACGTCCGCCAGCCTACGCCGTTGTCCGCGCAGCTGGTCCAGGTGCTGGTGACGGCCATTGTGCCCAACTACTGGCCGCTCCTCCGAGACGAGGGTGTCAAGGATCAGAACGGGCAATCTGCTTTTGCGTCGTTGCTCGCGTGCCTCCGGAGCGTGACCGGCCTAAGTGCTTTGGTCGCGAGACTCCGTGCTCTCTTAGCAGAAGTAAAAACGAAGACAACGACGGCAGCAGGCAGCGTTGCCACTGCCACAAACGATCAGCCAGGAAACCCGGCATGGCAGCTCCGGATCCTGGTCGATTTGCTGTCTGAGCTCTTGGCCGGCGACGAGGTCGTTTGCCAGGTCTGGACCGTCAGCACGGCCGCATCCGATGATGATGCCAAACAGCGGCCGCTCGCACAAGAGTACTTAAGTATCATTGGCGGTGGGCGGATTGTCTCGCTTGCGGCCGAATCTGAGATGGTTGTTCGTTCCGAGTTCAGTGCCGAGAAGCTCCCTGCGACCTGGGTCGCCAATGGTAGAGAATACGGTTTGTGGCTGGCAAAGGGCATTATGTGGTGGGCCGCAAAAGACGCGGACCCAGAGCACAAGAAAGTGCAAGGTTCTCTTCTTGCGAAAGCTCTTCGGCTTGGATATCCTGGTACGTTTTAATATCTTGTTATTTAATTACCTTTGTTGCGTTGATTGGAGCACTACTGACATAATCAGACACTGTGGTCTCATCTCTCGTCTCTGATCTCATCCTGATCAATGCTGGGTTGGACAACAGTACTTTGAGCCATATTCTGCAGCATCTTCCAGCTCACGAACAAAAGAAGATACTGTTTGGTGTACTGAAATATGCGGCGGAGACCTACCTTTCACCTTCTCCAGACTCTACGGTTGTTGACACAGCAACTGTGGCTGCCGTAGCCAGTCTCATAAAAAATGTGGCCGATAGCAGCACCACTCTCCGAGAGCAGCTCATTTCGTGGCTCTTGACAAATGCCGCCGTGGGACTGATCAACGGTATCGGCATTCGGCGGGCAGTCGTTGTTGTGGTTGCTGAAACACCGAAGAGCCTGACCGAGATTTTGCAGAAGTCGATAGCCGAGTTCGGCGACCAATTGTTTATCAAGCATGCCCCGATAATACAGCAAGAAGGTGAGCACATGGTATTATTGAAGTAAAAAAATGGAAATGAAGGAACAAACACTGACAAATACAGCCAAGGCACAAGTGATACTTCTTTGCGCTGGGTACGTTAGCCGGGGATCACAACGAGCGCTCACTTCTCTGCTACGATCTCGAACGTATCTCCAGACGGTGTCGAATCGTTTGGGTGCGTCACACAACCGGGCCAAGTTTCTAGGCATGGTAGTCGGCGAGGCACTGTCCGGGCTCATTGACGACAATAACAAGAAACTCGACTTCCACATGGACGAGACAAAATCGGACGAGGCCATATGGTACAAGGGCCTTGTGCAGGTCTCTGACACGATGGGCTCGCTTGAGTCACTGAGGAAACAAACACCAGAAACAAAGGGCACGTCAGCCGCGACAAAGACAACCAAAGCAGCCAAAACAGATAAACTGAAGCCGTCCAAAGCAGCTGCGAAGCCGGTCCGCCGGCCGCCAGTCCAACCAAGACAATCAGGCTTTGTCATTGAGGAGGTCAATCCGGACAACGATGATGGCGTAACAGGCGCTGTGGAGGACGATATTGTTGCCTACGGCAAACCAGACTCGGATGCCGAAGACTCGGACGACGACCCGACCATGATCCGCCGCGACAAGCCCAAGGCGCCCGTGTACATCCGCGACCTGATTTCTTACTTTCGTGACATTGAGAACTACGACAAGCAGAAACTGGCTCTGGCCACTGCACCTGTCCTCATCCGTCGCAAAGCCACATTCGGCACAGAGGTGCAGCAGCATGCTCAAGACCTCGCCTCGATTCTCGTCGGCCTCCAGGACGCCTTCGAGATGGCCGATTTTGACCAGCTACGACTGCAGGGCATGGTGGCCCTCGTTGTGGCCCAGCCCCAGCTCGTCGGGCCGTGGTACGCCCACACTTTCTTCGATGGCGACTACTCTCTCGCTCAGCGGGCATCCGTCTTGACGGCGATGGGTCTGGGAGCCCGCGAACTGGCCGGCTTTGACATCTCGGAATACGCATCGGCCGCCGCGTTTCCCTCGAAGCAGCTGCCCAACCGCATGGAGCGCCTCTACGTGGCCCCAGAAGCGTCCCAACCAGGCTTTGGGCCGGGCAGCGCCTCGTCTCTCAAGGCGCTCGGCCCGGGCGTTCTCGACTCCATTACAGACTCGCTCACAGCCACATTCCTCCGTCCCATCGCTGCTCAGGCGGCAGACGAGGCGACAGGCCCAGACGCTCTCAAGCTGACCTCGTTCAAGTCACGCTTGTCGAAGAGCGCCGGCGATAAAAAGGCTGTGAACACAGCAAAAGGAAAACGCACGGCCGCACAACCAGCAGCCGCCGTCAACACGTCTGGACCGCTCCTCTCGTCCGCATTCTTCTTCCCACTCGCTGCTCGGTTCCAGCTCGCGCTCCAGACGTCGTCTTCGGCGCGTATGCGCCGCGTCCTCTTTGACCCTTCGCTGCTCTCGCTCTACCTCAAGACACTCGCTGTAATCCTGCATGCCGCTGGTCCTGGTTTGCTCGCCCTGCCCGACATGACAGCCGAGCTGTGGCGCCTTCTGCTCAGCAGTAGTGTGCAGGCCCACTGCGCCGGTGACGTGCTTGTGACGCATGCTGTGCTCTTTGCCCTCATGGCGCTGCTTGACGTCAACGAACACCGCGTCCGCGAACTATGTCGCGATCTGCCGCGCGAGGTTGTCCAAACCCGGGACTGGGCGCTGCAAGTACTGGACGATATCCGCAGTAGCGGCAGCGGAGGCACTGATTCCAGTGGTAGCAGTCAAGAGAGCGAGATACAAATGCTGGCCGCCGGCGCTTACATCAAACTGACCGAGGGCATGGAGAGCTACAAGAATCTGCTCCTGGGCGAGATGATTGGCTGAATAAGAAAATGATGCGTGGGAAAAAGTAAATAGGACCATGAAAACAGGGCAGTTATCCAGCGGCCTATTTTCAGGTGGCAACGCTCTACAATGCGCTATGCTTCAGGCGTGCTGGGCGTCGCCACGATCGCCTGTGCCGCACGTGACCCCCTTCGGCTGACGCCGGAAATGCATCGCTCCACCAGAAGGCTGTCGCAATTCTGGACTGACAAATGCAAAGCAACCAAACTCCAAAAAAACCTGCTCATGTTTATTTCCTCTCCGACAAGTCCCACGAAGTTTTTTTCTTGTCAAACGACGACTTCGTATACCGTCCCTTCTCGCAGTCTTTCGGCCTTATCCTACACCTCTCAAATCTCCCCGTACCACACACAATGTCGTCTTCACAGCAGAAATCATCAGTTGGTACGAGACCCATCCGGCTCCTACGTCATGGCAAAGATCACGACTCGCAACCCTTGCTAACATCTGCTCTCCTCACCAGCGGCCGAGTCGTGCCCGGCACCCTCCATTGCGACCAGCGAAGCTGCCTCGAAGCCCAAGGTTCGTACCAATTCCAATTTGCGAAATCCAGTTGGCCCTCGAAGTCCGTCCCCGACCAGATCGAATTGGCCCACTAACAGTCACCAGCCCTGCTGCGTTTGCACGCAGGAAAAGTCCAAGCGCGACGAGTGCATGCTCTTCTCCAACGCCGCGAACCCATCCGTCGACTGCAAATCCACCATCGACCAATACCGTACCTGCATGGCTGGCTTTGGCTTCAAGGTATAAACGGGCAGAATGGACAAGAGAAACGAAAGCAGAGACAAAATGATATGAAGAAAAAGAAACGGAGTGAAACAGAGAGGCGGTGTACCTGCAGCGCACGAACGCGGCGGTCAGCCTAATTGTACGATATAATGTTCAATGAAAGGCATCATAATGGTTAGAAAAAGGTCACGGCCCACGTTTTAGATTCACCAGGACGAATAACAGATTCCCCACGATTTTATACACCTTTGATTACCGTCAGTTCTTCCCAGTTTCTCTCGGATCCTCCCAGTTCAGTTGCCTCTTCTCAGCCACGCCGAGTGTTATTGCCGATGTCTATGTTGAACATGCTGTCTTGTGATCCAGGCCAGCTCTCGACCTCGACTCTCAATCTTGAATCGTATCAATCTCCATGGTCCCGTCGTCAAGGACTGCCTTCTGCGCGTCCTCGGCCAGTCCGCTATACACCATCTGTAACACGCTCGTCAGGTTCATGCAGCTGTTGTAGAACCGGCCCACCTTGTCGGCCACGGTGCGCTGCTTGACATCGCGGGCTTCCATGGCAGCCACCAGCCGGCCCATTTGTTCCTGCCGGGTGCGTGCTCTGCACTGTTAGCAAGGCTTCAACACCGAGACAAAATTGCTGTTGGTCGACCTACTTAGCCATGTCACGCTCGGCCATGCGTGCCTCTGTTCTCTTGACAATCTCGGCCACCTTGGTCTGGTACTTTTTCTCAATCTTCTTGCGGGCCGCAAACCGATGTTTCTTGTGCTGTACTACTTCAGTATTTGATACTCTCTCCGCCTCTCCTTGGAAGGTCAGAGTCTACCTCGTCAATGACTTTCTTCAGCTCTGTAGCAGCTAGAACAGGGTCGAAATCGACGTCGGCATCACTATCGACGCCCGGGTCTGAGCTCAAGCCGGTCAGGTCAACGCTGGGTTGGCGGCGCGATGTGCTCAATTTTTTGGGAGGCATCGTGGTGTTTTTGATATTCGAAATGTGCGTAATGTTGAACAATCAGTTTTGAGTTATTAGAAAGAAGGAGAAGAGAAACGAAGAAAAACGAGAGTTTCAGGAGCCGCTCAGGGGACCATGAGGCCCCTTCCCTAGATGGATGCCAAATATCTTCATAGTTGTTGGCAATGGAAGGAGCGACCCGGCTCTGCCGCTCGCGACTTCCTTACATCTACAACACCCATCGCATTTCCAAGCAATTCTTATCTGACCTTCCTATTTTGTAAGTCACAATGATTTTGTTTTGGTTCTATGCAATTGTGAATCAGTTACTTAAATTCGGTTGCCTTCGCCTCAGTATAAGCCAAACATGATGAATTCCGTTCTATGTCAATCATCAGCACCAACCATTTAGACGCTGCCATATTTGACGGCACAGTTCCTAAGCACCATCGCATGAATGATTCCTGAATGGAATACATCACGAAATATGTACCAACGTTCAAGCATTTATTATGATTATCACGTGATAAGTCACGTCTATGGAACCGGTCTGAGGTTGCGACTTATAAGCGTTCTAAAGTTCTGATAAGGCCCCACTTAAAATTATCTCAGGCAAAAAAAAGTTCAATAGGGCGGCTTTGTTCGAATTTCTCGACCCTCTTTGTACTCGGCCTCTGTCAACATACTTATCAACACCGACCGGGACAACCAGGGACCTCGCTCTCTGATCCGCACAGTCACCATGGGGCTCGCAGGAGTAAAGAAGTGGGTTGTATGGGTACTATTGATTAATCTTTGCCCCAACATGACTGACATTTTCTCTTATCTTTGCAGCAAACGCAAGATTGGCGACGATCCGAACAACACGAAATGGGCTCGCAACACCCAAAACTATGGCCATAAGATCCTGCGTTCGCATGGATGGGAGCCGGGCCAATACCTCGGCCAGAAGGATGCCGCGCATACCATGTCGTACACTGCTGCCAGCTCATCGCACATCCGGGCCATTCTGCGTGAAGACAACTTGGGCATCGGCGCATCCGGCCCTGGTGCGAACACGGCCAACGAATGTACGGGTCTCGACATCTTCAAAGACCTCCTGGGGCGACTCAACGGAAAATCAGAGGCTGCGATTGAACAGCAGCGCCAGGCGCGCGAGAACGTCAAGATGACGCTCTACATTGAGCGCCGGTTTGGCCCGATGCGGTTCGTGCGCGGCGGCTTTTTGATCGGTGACGACGAAACATCCGAAAACAAAAAAGAGCCAGCAGCTGCGACAGAAGAGGCCGCTGCCACGTCCGAAGCAACTCCTTCCTCGTCCGAATCCGAGGCTGATACCGATGATTCCAAGGAGGCGCGGAGAAAGGCAAAGACGGGGCGCAAAGAGGAGAAGAAGGAAAAGTCACGAAAATGGAAAGTGACCAGCAATTCTGATGAGGCCGACAGAAGCGATCAGACACTTAAGGCAGACGACAGTGACCGGAAGGACAAGAAACGGAGGCGGAGCAAGGATGACGTCGATGAGGACGAGAAAGCCGCGAAGACGAAGAAGACCAAGAAGGAGAAGAAAGAAAAGAAGGCGAAAAAGGAGAAAAAGGAGAAGAAAGAGAAGAAGGTAAAGAAGGATAAGAGTGATACGAAGGAGAAGAAGGAAAAGAAGGGGAGGCGCGGCGAGGAGTGTGGTGATTCAACCCCGGCTACGACGGAGACGGGCGAGGAGATGGACACCGACACTGCCACGCCGTCTGAGTCGGAGAAAACGGCTGGCGGTGTGCCATCAACATTTACGGTGTCTAGCCGTAACCTTGCACGGAGGCGGTACATCAACCAGAAGCGGGCAGCCGTGGCAGACCCCCAAGCACTGAAGCAGGTAAGCAAACCATTACACCATGCTCTATGGACAGGGATCCGAGGACAGGAAACTAACGTGTCTCTAGATTTTTATGATAAAAGCATAAACGGATACAAGCGATAGGAAAACGGCGTTTACTGGCATATCTTTTCTTTCATTTTTCTCTGGCAATTTAGCATGGCTTCTTTTGGTTTAATTTTTGGACGGTATATTGCAAAGTTTTAGCACCTGCCAATGGCGCATGTATTGCCGGCATATCACTGACATGGCATTGGATCAAACACTAGATGGACCTCCTCTACCTCACCTCATGATGTGAACATTTCACTTGCCAGAAGACTGTCGAGCCCCTGTAAGAGCTCTTGCATGGTTTTTTCGTGGTCTAGCACACTCGCCTCCAAGTACTTTTCCTGGCCTTTTTGAAGGGCCTCGGACTCGCACCACAGTTCGGATCCAGACTCTGCTTTTGTATCCGTTTCAGGCATAACGGTCTGCTCTTCCGGCTTACTGTCGTCGTTGCTATCGTCGCCATCGTTATCGTCGTCATCGTCATCAACGTTATCCTTGTAGGAGCCTAGGCCATTGTTCGTCCACGATCTCTCATTCCTAGATAGCCTCTTGAGGAGGGCAAACGTTCGAGGCAGAGAAGGCTGCCATCGTTTCTTCACGTGGGCAGTCACACCACCTCCTAGGGTGACTTTCTGCCAACCGATCCGGCCTAGATCAGAAAACATGGCATAATCCGCAACGATGTCGTCGATGACCGTCCTTCCCTGGGGCCGATCGTCTGATGGTGGCAGGGACAGTGGCCGCTCCCATTCGTTTCGAAAGTGCGCCCGGAACGCTTCGTTAATGGCGAGAAACGACAAAGCAGCCGCAACAAAGCGAACGAGGACTAAGCGGAGGTTATACAGGTGGCCTGCGCGGACTGTCAGAGGCTGCTCGTAGACAATTGTCAGCGAGCGGAGTAGCGGGTCAGCCAGGCGTAGGATGGCGTAGTCCATCTGGCCTGAGCTTCGAACAGCCAATCCCAAAGGCGACTCCGACCGGCTGGGTATGGAAGCGGACATGCGGTTATCTCCATCTGACTCGTCCATCGACGTTGAGCCCGGAAGAACCGCATTGGACCACTTTATAATGTGCTTTTTGGCGTACTGCATCATTCCCCGGTGACCGACTGACGCACCAGCCACGTACATGGCCGTGTTGGTAAGGAGACTATCCGCATAGAGTGGTTGGCGGGGATCGTATTCGGCGCCGGGGTATTCAAAAAAGTACATGAATCGAAGAACGTTGGCTAGCTGGCCCGCACAATGATTGTGCAGCTCTATCACGCTCACCGAGCCGTCGTCCAGCTCCGAAACGGGAAGAAAAGCTGAGAAGTAATGGCACTTTCGCAGGATATATTTGTGGAGGTACCACTCGACTGAGTTGCAGACAATCTTGACGTTCCAGCCCTCGGTTGTGTAATGACGTCTTGACGTTTTATCAGTCCGCGCGACTTTCCCAGGGGTGACCGCGAGACGAAATTGTACTTACCGGTGATTCAACTTTTCGTTGCGTCGCATTTCATGGTACGCGAGTTGAGTGCCTGCTTGTGTCCTTTCGTCGTCAGCGGACCGCTTTCGACTTTGATCGTTATTGGCGAGCACTCCTTCAGTTGACTCAAACTCTGAATCCACAGCTTGCGCGTCAGGTTGTTGTTGGACTGGCTGAGGTTGCCGCAATGGAGAAATATTCGGGTTCGGTGTCCATTCATCGTTGGCCTTGTCAACCTTGATCGGGTCGCTCGTGACACTCGTTACAGCATCACCATCGCCTTGTGCCTCCCGCCAAGTGTTGGATTTTCGGCCTCGTCCTCGTGAGTTCCAAAAGTTGCGACCGGAAGGTCCTTTTCTCGAGCCTCTGCTTGTAATTTCCTGCATTTCCCATATCGGTGAGAGCCGTCGTCGCTATGCCGACTTGTAGCTGCCACTTTTGTGCATCGTGCGTTTGTAAAGGCTTGAAGTGAAGGGCAAAGCGGGCCATCTATTTTTCGTGTCTGAATGTGTCTGGTAGTTCACTTGTTGGCTTTTTCGGTCCAGTGTTCTCTGATTTCACTTTCCTCTGACTCTCCTTTCACAACCAGACCTGCAGTAAAAACGGAGGCAGTGGATGGATGGATGACCGACCCCGTTTGTTGTTGCAGCTCACCCACAGGGCGTGTTGCTCTGAGAGGCATGCATTCTTATCCGAGTAGTCGACATATTCACAGTTGTTGAGAGACGGTGATTGTAGTGGCTGTTTGTTTCGTTTTACTGGCTGGAGGATGTGGCAACCCACGTATATGTGTATTCACGTATCAAACAGCGACGTCAGTCAACGTCAGTCAACAACAGCGGCATGTTGAAGTACACTGACCTGAAATGACATGTATAGTATCATCAAAATAGCTGGCATCTATAGATGGCACTCTTGTGCCATTGTGAAGATTGATGTACTCGGCCGAATCTAGAGATGACACAATGTGACGTCTGCAGTCGCAACAGCCTTCTCTGTATCGCAGTTGCCTCACCAGGCATACAGAGCTCCTTCCTTTTACAATTGTTAAAATTTACTTGCTACCAAGGGAAACTGCGATGGTGTAACGAGGTATATTTGCTCCTGCCTATTATTGTCATGACCCACGTGCTTGCCTCACCTTCCAGGAGTGACCGATACAAGACACAATATGAATGGGGCCATCACAGCGCCCTTTTTATTACGTCTAGATAAGACAGTACAGGCAATTGGAAAATTCAATAGGACAGTTAGGTTTTTACTTGTTGGACAAGGCGTCGCACATGCGGTCATCAATTACCACGCTCTGGGCCTCTGTGTACGACACCAAGCCCTCTTATAGTGGCGACGATAGCGACCGGGCGAATAAAAGAGGCAGTAACTAAGGGCTGTTTTTCTCTTCTTTCTTGATGCCGACTGCGACCTGGTTAGTCAGCGGCTGCCCTGGTCGTGAGGTTGTACAGGAAACTGCCAAATCGGGTAATTACCTAAGACACGATACGCGTGACGACGGCGAGGGAACAACGTACGTACTCGAAATACCTCGTACGACTAGCGAAAACTAGTAGATAGCCCATCAACAACGCCTAAAATAGGCCACACAGTATACTCATCCCAAGTATCAATGTACACGTATCGATGAGCGAGACGAGCGGCCAGCAACCATCCACAGGCCCGGTTACACATTACTATTGGCCTACAGCCATTCGCACACAGAAATGAGCCTTCAAAAAGCGGTAAAAGATGTGGACGTGCTGCTTTCTGCTGGATGCTATTTTCTGTGTCTTAAGTGGCAGTGTCTTGTACGATAACGCACATAACGGTGTTCTGGTATGCAGTTTTCGCAGGCTTCTCGTCTTCACAGTCTTTATTTTCATCCATCGGGCACTGTTGCTCTTCCTCCTCGGCATCCACGGCAATATCGACATCAACGTTACAAGATAACCAGAAAAATCTCAAGTTCGCCGTCCATCCAATATATCCACCCTCGAACAATCAATGGACAAAGTCACGGCATGCCCCGAAATGGGCTCAAACACGGCATCGTCGGACGATTCAGAAAACAGATATGCGAAGGACACATCGGTCATAGAAACACGAGCCCGATCTCAAGACTGCAGTGCTACTGGAGTGCCATCGACTGCAAGCGAAGCGAAGCAGTTTCGAGAGGTGGGAGTCAATACCACATGCGAGGCCGCGATGCTGCCGTCGGCGGCCGACCCACCGACGGAAGACGAGAACAAACGCTGGTCATGGCGAGTTTACTGCAGCCCCGAGGTCATCCGGGTTTTCGTACTTGTCACTGTTGTCCTTGTCATGACCGGCTGGTGGATTGCTGGCCTGATTCTCCACCGCCACGATCTCGGATGGGTGGTCCCATTCTTGGTGTGGCTTGCAATCGTCTCACGAATAGTTGCCTTGTATCATGGGACAGGTCGACGCGTGTCAGCGATGTTCCAGTATATGGGATCAAAGTTATCCGCATGCCAATCTGTTGTACACAAAGCCGAGCCGGAACGCATCCGGCAATTCTCACACAATACCCGAACGTCCCACTTGCCATTGCAACGGGGGCCATTGTTATTCTCGGCACCTATGTGCCAGCCGCATCGGACAACAATACGCGTGCTGACAGGACCATTAGCTTATTGGGAATGATTGTGTTCCTCGGTGCATTCTATGTCACATCGCGGAACCGTGGAGAGATCAACTACCTCGCCGTATTTGGTGGCGTAGCAGCGCAGTTTATCCTTGGTCTACTGGTTTTAAAGACAAAGGCCGGGTACGATGTCTTTGACTTTATTGGAGAGATGGCCAAGAAGCTGCTGGGATACTCGGCAGAAGGTACCGTCTTCTTGACAAGCAAGTCGGTCTTGTCGGCGGGCTGCTTCTTGGTCGCCGTCGCGCCCGCAGTCATCTTCTTCGTGGCCTTTGTACAGCTCCTGCAGTACTGGGGCTGGATTGGTTGGCTGGTCGGTCATTTTGCCACGGTATTTACCTACCTGCTTGGCATCTCGGGAGTAGAGGCTGTCGTGGCAGCCGCTTCGCCATTTATCGGCCAAGGCGAGTCTGCCGTCCTGATCCGCCAATTTATGCCGCGCCTGACGGACGCCGAGCTCCACCAGATCATGACCTCTGGATTCGCCACAATTGCCGGCAGCGTCATGTCAGCCTACATGCAGATGGGCATCAGTCCTGTGGCAATTGTGTCGTCCTGCGTCATGAGCATCCCTGCATCGATTGCACTGTCAAAGCTACGCTATCCGGAGACGGAAGAGCCTGTCACACGGGGACAGGCACCGTCGCGAAATGAGGCCCACGACGAACAAGTACAGGTCAATATGGAGGAAGGACACCCAGAGTTCCGTCAACGGGAGGGCTCTTATGCAGGGGAGCAGGTTGTCGAGGAAGAGCGGACCTACAATTCACTGCATGCTGTCGGCCGTGGCTCTTGGCTGGGACTCAAAATCGCGGGCATGATCGTTGCCAGTGTGCTCTGCATTATGGCACTGATCGGTCTTGCCGATGGTCTGCTCGGCTGGTGGGGAAGCTACGTCAACGTTCCACAGCTGAGCATCCAGCTCATCTTGGGCTATGTGCTGTATCCTGTGGCATTCCTGCTCGGTGTTGACCGCAACAATGATGGCGGCAGCGACCTGCGCAAAGTCGCCGAGTTGCTGGGCATCAAGATTGTGGCCAACGAGTTTGTCGCCTACGGCGACCTGACGTCGGACCCGCAGTACAGCACGCTGTCGTTGCGGTCGCGCATCATCGCCATGTATGCGCTGTGTGGCTTTGGCAACTTCAGCGCTGTGGGCATCCAGATTGGTGCCTTGACGCAGCTTGCGCCGAGTCGATCTGGCGATGTGGCACGTGTAGCCCTATCTGCGCTTATCACGGGCATCGTCGCCACCCTGACCAGTGCCAACATTGCGGGCATGCTCATGGATGGCAGGGGTGTGTGATAACCGGAGCTTCGATATGTGAGATGAGGGATAAAGAACATATATAAAATCGCGAGACAAGCGTTATCTTTCGGTCTTCTCTAAACCGAAGGTTATCATTCTTTGTTGAGTAGTCATATGAGCAAACAATCCAGACAGTAGACCTTGTGCGGGAGCAGATACTGGCCAAAACGAAAGTTAAAAAGACCATACGATTGGCCATTGCGCAATGTCGATCAGAACCATGGGCTGTCTTCTGATTAACGGCTTTGATACGAATCTCGTTGGATAAGGCACTCTCTTGATAGCGCAGATATGAAGAATTGCTGCTGTGGGAACAAGGTTGGGTTATCTATGATGCCCCTTCAAGTCGTGGCTTGTCATGCTTGCCCGCAGATTAGAAAACCGACTGGTCGATCACAAAGGCATACGGAGAACGTAGAAACCGTGAGCTTCTACCTCATCCATCACTTGAGTTTATCTCTGCGATGAAGATCTTGGCCTTCTAATGGCCCGCCATGGCAATGACACCATGGCGTGCCCACCCCGGTGTCGATAAGTTTTAGAGTATAACGACTCTTGGACTAAACATAAAACGATGTACTCGTGATCCACAAGGACCGAAGAGTGGGCTTAAACTGAGTGGATCTGGGCAATCTGGGGTAAGTCCCTGGAGCTAGGCCTTCGACGTGCGGACGTGGAGGCGAATTCCGGCCGTTAAAGCCCATGAAAAGTCGGACTTTCTTCTGCGATGCCCCAAGTCAGCGCCCTGGCCACATGCCGTCTTTGGTGGTGCCAGTGGACGACGGCGTTCAAGCTGGTATTTCTTTTGGATACTTTTTTGGGGGAATGCTGTTGGGGGTCACAAAACGGGACCATCCAAAGCCGGCAGCGCAAACTTTCGAAACTGCGGGGGAGCAGGCACTTTGCTTCGTATTTACTCACTTTCTCCTCTTTGTACCCTGGTCTTATCCCTGGGCAAGAAAGCTCGGCGCACGGCACATAATTTATCGACCATCTAGTCCGAACAGGTTCAAAGACACATGTTGCGATGGGTGTTGGCGCTAGTTTTCTTAAGTGTCTGGGGAAGGTGGCCAGGAAGTTGAAAGTCAACTAAGTCTCGAGCTCAGTCCGTCTCTCGTTGCTCAAGTAAGACGATGACTAGATAAAGATACCGTTTCCTACCCTCACACACTGGGTTACGTGGGGAGGGGAAAAGACTATTGAGGGAGAGGGGATACTGCAAGAATGAGTTGTCAACAACCCATCTTCAAAGTAGACTTCCCCAGATGTGTCGCTTCTGCGTTGCTTGTATCCCCCCTCCATCGCCAATACACCATCTGTGCATGTTAATTCGCGTCTCTAGTGTATATGGCAGGAAGGTATTGACAACAAAAGCGGTTGAGCAATATATAGGCTTTTGGGCCAAGATCCGCTCCCTTTGGGATCTGAGAAAGGCTGGGGATAAAAGGCACTTCTTATCTCGCCAATCTCCGTCCTTAGCGGGCAGCGGGCACGCAATGAGGATTATCCGCGTCGCATTGCATGCTCTGGTCATGGAACAGGCCATCTGGTCGTATCTTCGTGGCTGCCACAGCTCACAACGGTGTTTCTGTCTAGTCGAAACAATGAGTGCGCGGTCAGCATGCAGCAAGTGCAGGGAAGCTGCATTTAAGCTGCATTCGAGTTGCATTACAACTGCAGGCCAGTCGCATGCTTCAGCACTCTTCTGGATGGTTGGGTGTATATTGACGAGATGGCAAGAGATGGCCAGCCAATGGCAATGAGGACATCAATGAAGTACCACAGAGTTAACGGCACGCGGTGTGCTTGTAATGGAGGGTGAAAAGAGGAGAAGAGGAAGAGGGCACGCGTGAAAAGGGGCATCAAAGCGACATCAAAGGAAATGAAAGGAGCCGAGGACGAAGGACCAAATGAAGCGAAAACGTTGCGTCGAAACCCGCTGTTGGGTACGGAGCAAATCGAGGACTCTCCAGTGCGCATTTCCTATGGTGCGTTGACGATGCAGACGGAGGGGATGGCGAGAGCGAGGTCCGACCAGGGTAGCGATACATTTTGAAACGGCATTTCATGGTTTGACCTCGTCGGATGCTGATGAGCGTGCTGAGATCAAAGGCAGGAGCATCTAGGAGAGTACAACGCTCCTACCCTGTACAAAAACCCCGACGGCTACATCGCAATCATGTCGTTCACAGGGAAAGAGCGAACACGACTGATGCAAAACAATGAAAAACAGAGTTGGAATATGCGTAGTGAGACAGGGAAGGTGCAGCCAAGCTCTACATGCAAACCAAGGCCCACGATAAAAGAAACCTCCCGCTCTGCCGCTGGTTGAACCAGGCAGGCCTGGCCAGGCCAGGCCCATGTCAATCAGCAATATTTACCCCGCAAACCGCCTAACTGGTTGATCGCGTCGAGGTGGAGACTTACTGGGCTTGCTGGGCATGTGCAATTCTGCAACCCTGTCGCCGGTGACGTCGGCAAGCCCATGCTAGCGCCGTTTCCTGTCGAGACAGCGACAAAATGGGGAAAGAACCAATGTGGCGAAGTTTTGTCCTTGTGTCTTTCTCGCGGTTCTTCCACCCAGTCAAGACCTTGCGAGCTTGCCTCTTGCCTACTTGCCTCCTCTTTGGCTTTCGCGCCGCGCTTTCCCCTTTGAACCTTGTGGAAATGGCCCCCGTCCCCGACACGGAACAGCAACCCCCACCCACCATCAGCGCCGCGCACCTCCCTCTGTGGCCTTGCCCTGGAAGGAGCAGCACCCGCAATAGCCCCCCAGTGAAGCTTCGAGCATGCTTGACCAGGATGTACCGGTCTCTTCTCCTACTGGCTCTTGTCAAGTCTGTCCTTTCTTTTTCTCGTCCTGTTGGTTTCTTTCATTTGTTTCCTGCGATGCACTGGTGTCTGACACTAATACAAATGGTGCTACTGAGTTCTAGGGAAAGGGGAGGCCATATGCTGGAGAGCCACGTTCATTCGCTCCTTCCACCATCGTCGATGCCAGTGGAATCTCGAGCGAGTATTTTAGCTAGCGCCAGAGTTTGCTGGGGATTGTCCCCCAAAATCACCACCGACACAGGGTTGTGAATGTATCCCGAGTCCTTTTGCCAGGTGGCGACCTTCGCACCCTGTCTGGAGTCCGCAGCTGTCCCACGGCCGCATCCAACATCCGCAAGTAGCACAGTCGGCGTGATACAGCAGGCGATTCCCCGCCGTAGAGATACTAGTAAGATACGGGATTCGTACTACGGGTCGCCGTTTCCTTCCTCAGATGGCCCGATGGCGAGTCTTCTTTGTGGACATCGACCTCGCTCTTTCCTTTTATCGCTTGCCTTCAAAGACCCTTCGTTCTTTCCTGTACCGGCTCTGCGGCTGTTGACCGTTTTGCAATAGCACGTAGTTGCATTCTTGGCCTGACCTGATCCCCAGGCTACCAGCTCTTTCCCCTGAGGCCCCTGTTTCGCCACCGCATCTGACAAAAAACGACGTCACTGCCCTCAAATCAACCGTACAATTGCTTCATATCACCAGAAACACATTCATCTCCTCAAAACACAAACGCTGCGCATAGTGTCACACTGTACTCCGTACCGTCTCTCCGATAGCACCGGCCCCCAAATTATCCTTGTGGACTTGGACTCCAATTGCCTGATCTTATGCAGCGCTAGCACCCCACAGAATAGACCAGCTCAGCGTACATACGAATGAACAGCATTTCATTACAAGGGCCTTTCCCTTGGATCGGCAACACTAAATTAGTCCCAGAAACGACCTCACCAGCTCACCTCCTCGCGTCCCCTCTCTGCCCTCTTCTCTTTGGCCTTCTGGCCCTGTCATTGCAAACGCAGTGGCAAGACGAAGAGAGAACCAGCTCTCCTTTCACTCCCCGCTTCCTTGTCCTCCCTGTCTTCCAAATCCGTTTACTTTCTGACACCCTGTGCTGGCTGTTTCGCTGGCCTGACCCAGGAACCTGGCCTATTATATATCCTCCTTTGTCGCCGCCCTCTGCCATCCCTTGCCTCATTTCTGTCACACCCTGATCGCTTCTACTCTCTTCCTGTCACAAAACACAGATAAGAACACATACCACTTTCAGGCCATTCAACCCTCAGCTTCCGGTGTCTCTGTCTCGCAGCCTGGGCAAAGAAATCTCCCATTTCGATCCGGCTGCAGACTCGTTCTGCAGGCCACCGTCTCAAGAGTTTCGAAACCCAAGCAGCATCATACATCATTCCCGTGCATAGCCAGCTTCCGCCTCGAACTACTTTTTTTGCACCACTCCGACCGAGATAGCTCACGAGCCACGCCCTCTTCGTTTTTGTTTGCTCTCGAACCCGTCACAGCACCCCTGTTGCTCAACCATCTACGACATTTCGGCCCTCAGTTTCCGACACATCTCCATCTCGATCTTTCGTTTCCTATAGTCCCGGTTTTCCCTTGGCGCTGTTTATATCGGGGGCCTCTTTCTGCCCTGCTTTTCCTTTCACAATGGCCTCAAATAACGACACCAACTACCCACCAAACTCGACCGACAACACGTCTCGTAACCGACGTAGCTCCGTCACCTCGGCGGCCCTCTCCAGCATCTTTCGCAGCAACTCGACCTCGAGCGCCAACAATGGCACCCCTGCCTTCCCAGGCCCCGTTGCCTCGGCTGCCCTTGACCAGACACGGCGGCGGCGCCTCTCTGTGTCCACAACGGCCGCCCTTGGCCTATCCGGCGCTACAGCAGGCAGCGGTAGCGTCAGTGCGGGCCCCAACGGCGGGATTGGTGCGTCATCGTTTGCTGCGCGCCGGGCAAGCATGTCCACCAACTCGTCGACATCGGACACGGCCTTTGACGAGAACGCCATTGAAGACGACGACGCGCCTCCGGGTAGCGGGTCGCGCAACTCGCCCAATTCACCCTTTGCACGCCGCATGAGTTTTGGTGCCCAGGCCATGCGTAACCTCCGTGGCCCCGGTGGTACCAGTCCGGGCGGCGCCTCCTCTAACGGTAGGCTGCGCTCCAACTTTTCCAGCACCGCTACTACTGCTGCATCTGGTGGAGGGAGGCAATCACAGCAGCAGCAGCAGCAGCAGCAATCCTCTGCCTCTGGTTCGCTCTCGCCTGGTTCTTCCTCACCTCGCTCCCCTTCATTGTCCTCTTCTTATGTCTCACCCCGTCCTCCCATTACGATACCAACACAACGGAATGCATCCCGAGGGGCTTCTTTTTCCTATACGGCGGCGAGCCAAGCAAGTTCCCATGCACCAGTACTCAGTCCTAGAACTGCTTCTGACAAAATGTTTTTTCCCGCTGCTCGTGCAGACCAAGGATACAACTGGCCTGAGCAGCTTAGGTCTCGTGCCGAGAGCAGTGTGGCGTCCGGCGCCCGGCCCTCGTTCTCCTTTGCCTCGGGAATGGGCAATTCCCCGCCGCGCGGAAGCGGCTTTGGCTCTATGTCGAGCTATGGCCCAGGTGGCAGCTCTGGTCTTCCGGGTGGTATCAGCGGAGGTGTCGGCAGCGGCGGCGGTGTCGGCCTGCGCCACGACCGTGCCAAGTCTGTATCGGACATACCCACGCCGGCACCCGCACAGCGTCCTGCTCCGCAGCAACCCCGCCAGGCTCGGCCGAAGCCAGATCACTTCCAAGAGAGAATCCTCAAGGGTGACTTCTATATGGATTAGACAAGGGAGCAGCGATCTCTATCCCTCTCTTTCACGACTCTTTTTACCTGTTTTTGTTTTTATTGTTACGACTAACTGCATCACAACCGAACGAGAAATCCAACGCCGACTGAGCGGCAGCGCGGGATATATGACTTATATGGCGCCTGAGTTTTTACTCCTATTATTTTCGACTTTGTTTCATTTTTTCCTGTCGAATTTTCGGGCTCAACCCAAATTTCAAGTTATGCGAGAACGGATTTTTTGGGCGTTTATAACTCACCAGGCGTTTAGTCAAGCTTACACGCTCCTCAAGGAACATTCAAGAGTTGTGTAGCTGGCGCGGCGACGAGGACATGGGATGCAACGCATCAAACGAAACGATGAGAAATGTGTGGACCACATAGGATGATTTTTATTTCGTTGCACGGCGTTTATTTTTTTTTTTTTTTTTCGTTGTTTCTCTGCTTTTCACTTCTGCAACCTGTCTCATTTTAAATGAACTCTTATATTTGGTCCTGGGCAAAGTAGCCCTGGCAGGAAACCATGTGTCGTTTTCTTCATTGTTTCTTATCGCGGAATGTCTCGAGGTGCCTTCTTGTTGACTTTTTATTTCTTTTTTTGGCTTGTTTCAAACTTTCATTCTATTTTTCTGGGGCACGACTTCTCCGCCGTGTATTCAACTTTGACGCAAATTGTTATGTATCGTTTTCCTGGGTTGTCCCCCGCTGTGGCGTTCGAGCTGGAAAGAAAATGCCAAAAATAGCAGACGGAAAACGAGGTGCTCGGTTTTGCATTTTTTTTCTTGCCTTTTATGTCATTTGATTTCCCTTGTTTCAAGAGATGGAATGGACGGCAGCGGCACCAAATTGGAACCATGTACAGGATGGAAGACTAGGGTTTATGCACCGAAGGCTCATTGTATGATAACAAATGGACCAAGTGAGGCTTGTCCCTATTAATAGCTTTGTTGACCTTTTGGCACAGTATTTTCTACAACGTATAAAACTGTGACAACATGATGTCACTGGACCGTTCGATGTAGAGTTGTGAAGCCTGTCATTAGATATCGACCCAAGCAGTCCGCTAATGTCGTAAATAAGCCAATAATACAATAAACACCAGGGTATTGTGTCAAAACAAATAAAATCAAAAACCCAGCAAATAGCGTCATAAAAAGGGCGTATGCAGAAGCCAACATTCGGCTTATCCGGGACTAAAATTGAAAGGCTTCGCCGCCACCAAACCACGGGTCGGCCAGAATGTAGTTGAGGCCATCACTCAAGTTCATGTTGTCGGCGCCGTCGGACAGGCCCACGAGCGTCAGGTCCACGGCGTACTCGAAGTTGTCACCCAGATTGAGGTCCGGGTACTGGGCCATGTAGTCGGCCGTGGACGGCGGTGGCGGCATGAGTGAGGACACTTGTTGTTGCTGCTGCTGTGGATCGGACGTCTGGCCGCTGTTGCCAGTACCGGCGCCGGTGGTAGCAGCGTTGCCGTTGTGGGCGCCATTGCTGAGACTGCTATAGAATGGCGGCCAGGGCGGGATGGTGTTGACGGCGGCAGCGGGGCCAGCACCTTGCTGTTGCTGCTGCGACATGCCTGACGCAGCTGCTGTTGTCGCTGCATTGGCGGCGTAGTCGTTGGCGGCAATCTCGGAAAGTAGCTGGAGTGGCGTGTTCGCCGAAGAGTACATGCCCGATGGGGCCTGCATCTGGTGCTGGGTCTGCGGTTGCGGCTGCGGTTGTTGCTGGACCTGGCTGCTGTTATTGTTATTGTTGATACCGATGTTGTTCGCATTGGGGGTGGTGCCCGACGTCACTGACGGGGAAGGCGTGGCTGTTGCCGATGATGTGGAGGCTGCTCGAAGGTGGTTTCCATTGGAGGTACCCGTGCTGCTGTTCGTGTTATTATTAATGGTCGACAAGAACGCCGACGAGGGCATATAGGATTGCGACGCAGAACCGCCTGGCGTCCCGGCCGCAGCGGGTGAAGCAACATGGTCTTGCTGCGGCTGCGGTGGCGGTTGAGACTGCTCCTGGTCCGCTGCGCCTTGGCTGCTCGAGGACTCGCCGTTCTCCTGCTGGCCGGCGCCGCCTTCACGAGCCTCAAAGGGATTGTGGGCCTGCTGCTTGAGGAACCACGACCGGATCATAGCCAGAACAATCATAAACTTGCCCGCTGGCCGCGACCGGTTGCCGGCGGCTGTCGCGCGGAACTTGTCAAGCAAAGCATTGAGGTGCTGCTCGACCTTCATGTGCTCCTTGTTGATCACCTTGCCGAGCTCCGAGTTGGGGGAGGATGCAAAGAGATAGAGCTTGATCATGACGACGGTGGCGTAGGCCACGCGCACAAAATTGAAGATGGGGATGCACCGCAGGGACTGGATGTCCATGCCAAGAAAAGCGTCAAAGATGCCGTCAATAGCAAGGAGACATGCCGTCAGCGCACGGATGTGCGCAGGCGTCAGCGTTGCATCGCCAATGAGCGCCTCTTTCGTCGACTCGGCCGTGTACGGCGTCTTGAAGTCGTCGTTGCCGTTCTCGGTCTGAAGTGCAATTTCATGCATGTAGAGGCTCAGCACCTCAAAACTCAGTCGCAGGGAGGCTAGAGTCAAACGTTAGCAGTGGGCATTACAGACAGACCACAAAGAATATGAGCGCAGTGAATTCGCTCGACGTACGTTGTAGCAGGTTGCGCGGGATGGTCGATTTGTACCGCTCCAGCTCGCGCTCAAAGCCACGCAAGGCGTACTGTGTTCGTGGATCCGCAATATTGATCACGGTGGCCGGGTCGTCCATGGAAAACTGCTGTCCTACCTCTTCGGCCATGCGGTGTGTCCAGACGAGGTGGCACAGGTACTTGTCCGACGGGGCGGCGTCGGGCGACGACTCGAGCACTTCGACGCACTCGGTCATAAACGAGGTCCAGCGGACCAGGTTTGGTCGGTGCAGAGCCATGGCCGTGTTGGATGTCATAAAGTAGCACGCCAGCCACGTCCGCCGGCCTTCGATGCTGCACGGGTCGGGCAGCGGGTACTTTTTGAACGGGTGGTCGCGCCAGCCACCAAAAGGAGGGCCAATACGTGGACCTGGCGCGGAACGAAAGCCGTTGCGAAGTATGCTCGCGCTGGCGAACCCCGAGCCAGGGCCGCCACCCACGACGCCGCCCCCCGCGCCACGCCCGCCACCAGCACTGCCTGGCCCGTTTCCCGGTCGCCGCTTGCCGAGGCCAATTTCGATGGCCATGACGGCGGCAGTGTGGACCAGCTGGTAGAACTTGAGCTCTTCAAAGTGTTCAGGGGGCCAGTACCAGATGACGGCCACCTGCAGCGCCTGTACGAGTTCCAGGCTCTTCTCGCCCACGACGAAAACCTTCTCGGCAAAGATCTGCATCAGCTCCTTGACAATGGCGCGCTGGATGTCCGACATCTCGGTTGTCGACGCGGCCATGATGGATAGGAACAGGACGGGCTTTGTTTTGCGAATGTCGGCGGCGGTCGTGCCGGGCGGAAATACAACGGCTGGCATATGACGTGCCATCTGATCGGTATACCGCTGGAACAGCTCCACCGCCTTTTCCATCGTCAGCAGGCCGCGGTCGATGATGTCCGCGTACTCGGTGCCAAACCGGGATGTGCCGCCCACGCCACCAGCCGGGCTGCGTGCCATGCCATATGCTGGCGAGGTCTGTGGCTGTGGCGGCGGGTGTCGAGGTTCCTGCACGTTATGCCGTTGGGATGGCGGCGCATGCTGGGATGCGTGGCCGTGCGGCGGGTTGTGGCCGAGGCTGTGGTGGGTGTGGTAGCTCTGGTAGGGATTCTCGCGCATCGACGGCGACTCATCGCTGGCGGTTGATCCTGCTCGAGAGCCCGAGCCGCCCCGCGAACCCGGGCCATTGCCGCCGGCACCAACAACACCAGTCGCCTCGCGGATCTCGGAGAACTTGCGCTTCTGCCCGGCCATCACCATGGGAGGTGGTCCGTTGGAGAACGGACTCCGTCCCACTGTGCTCGTCGAATAGGGGCTGTGGGGTGGTGCTGGCCCTGACAGCCCATGTATAGGTGGCAGGTCGCGGCCGCTGACACCTCCGATCGATGTCGTCGACGTGCTTCGTGGGCCGACTGGCGGTAGTTGTGGAGGGTCCAGGTGCGGTGGCCATTCGCGCAGGATGCCGTTGCCACCGCTGGTGCTGATCGACATCCGGCCGTTGCCGCTGTTGCCGCCATCGTCACGGCCAGATCCAGAGGTGCCGGTCCCGGCCGGTCCAGGACCTGTCTGCCTTGTCATCTGCAGACTGGCGGTCAACGCGTCAATCTTCTTCTCCAGCTCTGCAACACGGCTGTCTGTCTTCTTTTGTCGTCGACGTGTCGGTTGCGTTACAATGCATTGGCGACCCGCCTTCGCGCACCGGCGACACGGTGTCTCGGGCGGAGCGTTCGGGTCCATATCGCAGCGGACCTTGAGGCCGCGGCAAGCTTCACAGGCACGGGGTTTCTTGGCATCGGCTGCATTGCCGCCGCCAGCACCGCCGGCACTAGTACCAGCAGCATGGCTTTGGCTCTGCTGTGCATTACCAGGGCGGGAGACGGCGGGCAAGTGCGAGGTCCCTCTGGCAGCCTGTGTACCACCGCTGCCGTTGGCATTGCGGTCCCCTTCTGCCTGCGCATCGGCATCTTCGTCGCCGTCGCCTTCGCCATCACCATCCTCTCCGTCCTCATCGGAGGGCGACAGGCTTGGTGAATCGGTTGTCGCGGGAGAGTAGCCCTCGGCCGGATTCGGATACGAGGGTTGCTGCAGTCGTGACGCCGTGCTTGGCGCCGCTGCCGCTGCCGATGAATCCATCGAAGACAAAGGAGGGAGGATTGAGGTGGAGGTTGAGGAGGGGCTGGCTTGGCTGTTGTTGTTGCCTGTTGTTGGCGAGGTTGTTGATGCACCCGGCGCCTGTGGCCGGAGACTGCCCAGGGCGGAGGCGGCGCCACCCACCATACGGGATCAAAAGCAGGAGGGGGGGAGGGAAGATGCGGAAGAGAGTCGAGAGAGCTAGTCGAATACGACGAGTCCTGTCGCCGCGGGAAGTTCGTTAATCAAAAGCAAGATGTCGAAAACAGACGAGGTGTTCGTCGGCAAAAATGGGTAAAGCGAGGACCGCCCTGGACGAGCAACGGCTGCCCACTACCAAGCAACGCGAAGATCGGAAAGAGGCCCAGTGAACTGGTCGCCTCGTGGCAGCCTGAGCAGCGAGGACGGTATGTACGCAAGTCGCCCCGACACACAAATTAAGCTCAAATTGGGTCGAATTAAGGGGTTCCCAGCCGCGGGCAGACGCGCATGCGCAAAACAAAATGTGTCGTCAAGGGATGCTGTCACACGTGCCTTGCTGCGTAATGTCGTCGGGTTCAGAGGTAGGTCATCATAAAGGTGTGGTGTCAGTAACGTTTGTGTGAGGTTCAAAGTGGGTTGGAATCGTGTAGCATAATCTCCCTCGACTTGCGATGGTGTTTTGGCGGAGGTGACAGCGTCCGAAGTGCCGATGTATTATGCGGGTGGAGAGATGGGTCAGCGTGGAGGACTACGGAAGGTAACGCTGGGCGCACTTTCCAAATTGTCCCCTGTTGTGTGTATTACAGAGGGAAGGACCTTTTTTTGCGCGAGGAACATAGGACGGAGAAAGAGCGACCAGGAATGCCAAATTGGCCGGCGGCGCTGGGCCAAAATGTACAAGTATCTTACGAATGGAAAGGGCGGACCCAGAAGAGAAGTCCAGGAAGGACCTAGGCCCAGAAGAGGACTAGCTGACTTTTCGGGCAATGTGCAAGTCCACTAAGAGTCAGGTTTACAGCGAACAGTCTTGCCATGTGATCGTGATTGGTTATTTTTTGCAAGTGGAACAGGGCAGTGTCTGCCTGTTAGGCCTGAACGGAACTTTCCAGCATGGCAGCTACATCCGTAGGCAAGAGCCGGCAAGAATGAAAACGGATAAGGCCAAGCGCGCTTTCCCTGGAATGCCTCCAACGGAGAACAAGGTCATGTGAGAAACAGTCATTAATACGACTTATGGAAAGTGCCACTCTTTGACCACGAGGTACGACGGGCAGAGTATTCGTAATGTACGACGCTCCATCCATAAGGGCACAGAGTACAGAATACTCTAATGGCTCTCGCTTTCACGCCCTAGGGTGCTCCATTATCCTCACTCACGGCCATCGATTCTAGGATACTTGAGTTTCTTCTCAAATTCGGGTCAATCATCTGTCAATCATCTTTTGTTGGTTATATGCATCTGCTTCAAAGGCGCCATGCCACCTCATCGTGTCCAATCTGTATGGGCGACTTCGAAATACAAAACAAAGAGATAAAGAAATCGCAAACACATCTTCTGCCACCCAAATGTGAACTCGGTCGTTCCGTTTAACGCCATGCTGAAAAAGATGGGTGATGCTGCCCGTCCACCTGGCCGCGCCATGCCGAACTCTCTCGCCCACTCGTCATATTAGATAATATACACTTTGATACGAGTTGCAAAAACGTGACTCTTTTCCGCAACTGAATGGCGTAGGAGTACAAAATCAATCCGGTATAGAGCCCCAAAAGAAATAGAAGAAACACAAAAATGAGAACGTAAAATGCAACACGACAAAAAAGAGAGAATAAAAAATAAAAAACAGAAAAAGCAAACATGCGCCGGGCCGCCCAGGGGTATCCCGGCAGCAAAACAGTTAGGGCAGGCCCGGCGATTCATGCACACATGCACACACTCCCATACCCACGCTTGGTATCATTGCATTGGTGGGGTGGAGTAGGCTCGGTAGGTGCAAATGGCTGGCATTTGTGCAACACAATGAAGTATCAGGTTTGGCTTGTCAAAAGCGAGGGGTCGTGTAGCTGGGTCGCAATGCCGAAGGCCAGTATCTCTAATACCGGTTGCCTGGCCCAGGGCGTCTGGTACCCTGCTGCTGGTTGAGGTTTATCGCCGGACTGCTGGGAAGGATCGCACTCTCACGCCGGGTGTTCCGCTCATACGCAGCTAGTCCACCATTGTTACTCCCTTCATACAGCGGACGGTCGTAACCAGGATTGTTGCGAACTGGGTTGGGCGCCGGAACTTGCATCGGGTCATACCCAGCCGGTACCACAAAGCCACTTTCGTACGCCGGCCTAAGAGACACTTGAGAGTTGCCCTGTTGCTGAGACAGGTACTGGGGCTCGTAGGTTGTCATGCGCTGCTGCTGCTGTTGGGCCGGTTTTGGAAGCGGAAAACTCGGAGGTGGCTGCATCGGCGGTGGCGTGGGCGTCGACCGCAACTGCACCTGTGATCCAGCGGAGCTCATCAAGACTGGAGGCGGCGTTTGCGTGTTCCGGCCGCCGTTGCCGCCGTTTTTAATGGCATCCAGCAGACGCTGTCGATGGGGAGATTCACCGGCATGAGAGGTCGACGGTCGCTGGGGGAGCGGGTCAATCGTTGCCCCAGTTGACATTGATGACAGAGACGGGCGCCGGTCGTGGGGCTCATCCGATACAGGCGATGGCAACTCGTATTCCTCGGGTTCGATGCCGAAAACAGCCTCGTAGTTCTGCAGTAGTAAAGCAAAGACGGGCGCGGGGATGTTCAGCGTCGGGGAGAAGACAATGCCCACATTGCGCACCGTCATCTTGTTGCGGTCCGAGTTGTTGATGATCCGGATCAAGAAAGCAATGAGATACTTGAGAAGCGTGGCATTGGGCTGTGGCAAATGCTTGGCAAGCTCGGCCAGAGCCGAAAGCTTCTCTTCATGGTTGGGCATTTCTGTCACAGACAAGAACTGCATGTGCAGGTCCCGCGTCAAGATGGTCGTCGGCAGTTCACGTAGATACATCTTCAGCAGCGAAGCAACAGCGTGGATGTCGTGGTAGGTCTTGTCGTTGAGCAAGTCAACGTCGCTTTCATTGTTGAACCGTTCGCGAAGCTGCTTGATCAGCACGTTCGATCCGCTGAGACGGAAGATACCCTCCTCGTACACTGCATTGCGAGCCTCCAAGTACTGAATGCAGCGGTACACAACAGCAGGAAGGGGCACATTGACATCGACAGGTGAATTGTAGCGAACAGCCTCCGCCAACGGAGCACCGAAGACCTGGCGGTGGGGGCTGTTGCCGCCACCGCTACCAGAACCTGCAGGACCGCCAGAGTTGCTGTCGCCGAAGAGAGAGTCAGATGGTCCGTCAGTAGATGTCCGGTTCTTCGCTCCAAACCCGAAGAAACTCCGCTTTCTCGCTTTCTTCTCGTCCACAGTCGGTGGCACCAGGCCCATGCCGAGCATCGAGCGGCCAACCCAAGCAGATGAGTCCGAAATGACCTGGGGGTCCCGAGGTGCAGAGATTGCGTACGGAGACTGGGACGACATGGTCTGAGGAGCGTCCGAGTCTTGCGAATTGCGCCGCTGCCGACCGCCGGGCACGCCGTGGGGAATCTCGCCCGCTTGCGTCGCGTCGTAACTGACACCGATAAGACCATCTTTTCCAAAGGATTGCTGTGGTTGTGACTGCTGAGCCGACGCTTGCTGCTGCTTTTGCAGCTGCTTCTTGTTCTGGGTAAGCTTTTTCTTCGTCGCGGATGAGCCATTCGGCCGGCTTGAGTCGTTGGAGGATTGTGGCCGGTCCGGGTCAAGAGTACCAGGGACGCCTGAGACAGACGGTGCATCGTCCTCATCGCCGTCATCGCGATAGTCGATCCAACGAAGAAGAGAGTCCACCCATATATCACGCTCGTGGTCACTTTCGGCGCAAAGAACGTGCTTCGTGAGAGCTGTAGGGTCCTTCTTCTTGGGTTCCAGGATCAAAAAGGCATGGCGGTACTGGTTGTCGAGTTCGTCGGAAGCATTACTGCTCACACCGCCACGAGCAGGTGATGAGGTGTCGCCGTGTTGGGATTGCTTTCCAATCTGTGCGTTCTGCAGCTTGATGGTACCCAAGTGGGCGCCACCGGGTGTCTCGTAGTACTTCAGATGCGGGCCGTCAAGGACAAAGAAACGCGCCTTCCAGCCGCCAAAGTTCTTGCCCCGCTTCGTCAGATAGCCGGTCTTGATCGGCCGATCACCAAATTTGATCTTGGCCTTGTTAGCTTGTGCCTCCTTCCGGACCTCAGCCGATGTCGAGCCTGTCTCATCTGCGTTGGGAGGTAGCGTATTGGTTGACAAGTAGCGGCAAAGATCCATTGCCGTGCTGTTGTCCAGCTGAGTGTTGAGAAGCTCGTCCAGGTAGTTGTCCAGCGCTTGACGACGGGCGTCGAGCTTAGCTGGCGCATGGCCACTGAAGAGAGAGCGGTCCGGTGTTCTAGCTGTGAAAGCTGGGCACTGCTTTAGGCGTTGGTCCAGCTTTGCAAGGGAAGCAGAGTCCTTTTCAACACGCCATAGCTCTCCACCGTCTGCGCGAGAGAAGACGGCCAAGGTGAAGACCGGGTCTTCCTCCAGCTGTGTGAGCGAAATCAGGCTAGCCCGAGACGGCTTCATACGGGACGAGGCCACCTTGATATCGATCGAAGGCAGAGCGTTTGGCGGGAGCAGCAAATCGGGGAATTGCTCCGTCACAAAACCCTTGAAGATACGAGTACGCTCTGTCGGGCCCTCATGGCTATTGACCGACTTGACTGACGGGCTCGACGGTGCTCCTGAAGATGCAGTGTCACTCGACTTCTTAATGATATTGAGAGGTTTCGGGGACGAAAGCGTCAAAGGTTCTCCGGGCGCAGGGGAGGGCGTCTGAAGTGGAGTGTTCGGCGGCAGAGGGATCGGCTGACGAGGAGGACGGGGCGATAACGGAGCTGCGCCAGCAGCCGTACCAAAATTACCAACCATTCTCGGCGAAAGAGGAGGGGAATGCATTGGCGAGCGGGGTATGGCGTTGCCCGCCATAGGCCGGGGGCTCGACGGCAAACCGGGGCTGAGCAAAGGAGCTGCTAAGCTTCGCTGCACAGTGACGATATTGTTGGTGATGTCGCCATCATCGCTCAACATGCCATCCAGAGAGTTTGGCTGCTGGAGGGCGGCCTGGGAGAGCATCAAGCTTGGCGGTACAGTATCAGGGGCAGCAGTCGGTTGACCAGCCGACTTGGGTGTGTTGTGAGCGCTGTTGCTCTTTTTGCTCTTCTTGGACAAACTCCGCATCTCAGCCTCTTGAATTGCAAGAATCTCCCGCTCACGATCATCTTCCTCTCTAGTTCTCCGCCGACCTCTCTTCTCCTTCTCGGACGTCTCGGTCACTTCCAGCAGCGAGTCGTAGTCAGAGTCCGACTCGAGGACCTCGTCGTCGATGGGAATGGTCGGGTTCGGGCGGGGGTCCCGTAGCATTAATGGAGCCGGTGGAGGCTTGCGCGGTGGTGGCGCCGGCGGCGGTGGGAACTGCGAGACGCCTTCGTCGGACGAGGCAGCAGGAATTTGAGGAGGTGGAACTTGTGGCGGTTTGCTAGGTAGGCTACGCGATGGCGGAATAGAGAGGTTGATGGGAATGTCGTTGGCAGCATTGGCCGTGTGACGGGCATTATCGGCTGCCCGCTCCTCAGCATCGTGGTCGTAATTGTCCAATGCATGATCTTGCGGCCGGGGCATCGACTCAACGGGGTCCAAAATGTCACCGACAACAGACGCAGCCGCGACGGATGGCTGGTCAGCTGGTGGTGTTATTGGGTAGGGAGCCAAGGCCATGTCCACGGGCGAGTGCAGAGGAGATTGCAGCGGCGAGTCCTTGACGCTCACGGGCGATGAGGGGACATCTTCCGAGGTTACTCTATTGATTGCCCCGGCACTCAACGCGGGGAGGGTTGCAGTCGGTGCGCTACCATCCTGCCTGTTGTTCTGCTGCTGCTGCTGCGGCTGCTTAGATGAAGAGTTTTCCGGGGCAGAGAGAACTGGCGGGCGGCCATGATCTGGCAAAATCTCTTTGACTTTCTTTCGGTACTTTTCCTTGTCCTTGAGTGCTCGCTCCAGATCCTTGTTGAGGCCAAGAATCATAGCCCGCTGTTTATCGACCAGACGCCATAGCTGTGCATTCTGCTGAGACTGGGCTTGCTTCTCTTTAAGTAGGTGCTCAATCACAGCCTCTGCGCTGCCAGCAGCCTTGATGATGGAAGGAATGTCGTGTGTCGTGACGCTGTCGGTTGAGTTTTTCCTTGCGGACGAACCAGTCGATAAGGCTGACACGCCGGAGTCGATTGAAGCGTTTCGGGGAGCTCCATGTGCCTCGGCACGGGTCGCTGTGGAAGGGCCTGCCATGACTGCCCGTGATGAGATTGTTCCGCCTGCGAGAGGCTTGGGGGTCACAGCGGAGTCGGAAACGCTTCGATTGTCATTCGGGAAACGGGGAGAAACCGCAGGTCTAGAAGTATGGCTGTTAGAAATTGGAAACGAAGAAGAAAACGCTTGTAATTATAAGAACAAAACAAAGACCAAAAGAGCAGCACAGAGACGACGAGAGACTGGCAGACTGATTGCCCAACGTGAGCACAACATCTATATGGCAGTTCGTCTCATTGGTCCAAGTTAAGGAGCAAATGCATATGGTTTATTTTCGCAAGGTAAAAATGAAGAGATGTAGAGGGAAAGAACGAAGGGGAGCAACTCGAATGTGCACTGTACGAACATGGGATTTGATATCTCTTCCACGGGCGTAGACGCTCCTGAGGAGTCGCTGTTGAAATACGTCTTCTCGGCACCCAAACTCTGATCACGTTGAAGTTGAGGCGATTCTGGGCCGGTAGTCACGATCTGAGGAATGTCGAGGGGCTCTTGTGAGCTGGTAGTGGTGGTGTCTCGCGGGTTGCCGTTCGGCTGCTGTGAATCGGGGAAAGGAAAGCTGAAGCCCGACGGCGTCGACGTGATCGGGGGCGATATAGCAGTGCTCGTATGGAGCGGGCTTGGAGCTGGTTTTCTTTGAGACCTGTATTCGATGGAAAAGAGGAACAAGAAAGAGGAGATGGATGATTAATTAGCAATTGAGTTGTCCAGTGGTGCTACAGTGTGGCAGATGGGGGCGGCCGCGGCAGGATGGCCTGGCCAGAAACGTAGAGAAATGGGCAGGGGGTGGTGGAAACAGTGCCAGGGCTCTCCAATGGTTTCTCTGTGAGACGTTGCGCTTGGGGTTGTACAGCCTTCCGCACAGAGAAGCATATGGGCCGCCAGACTTATCTTCCTTCGAGAACAATTCCCAATCACAAAGTAGCAAGCATCAAGCAGTGCCTAAAGAGTCCTTCGAGTGGTTGAGGCACGCGGGCAGAAGAGGCGGAGAGGTATCAAGGGCACGCGAGCGGAAGATTTGTGCCATCCACAGAAACAACAGAGAGCACAGGCCTGTCGCAGAAGCAAAGGTAAAGCAGAACCGAAATAGCAAACCAGTCACATAATACGCAGACACGGACAGGGTTGTGCCGGCGACAGGAGGAGAAAAAGGGGGGCAGAGTGAAGGGAGGAGAAAGGGCAGGGGCGGGAAACCAGAATGTGTGAACCAACTTACCGTGACGAGATAGACGAGTTGGCGTTGACGCTCGTCTGAAGGAGAGCTGAACGCCCGGCACCGGAAGAGGAGGGACGTTGTGTCTGCGCTCTACTCGAGCCAGGTGAGCTGTTGGTGTAGCTGCTGCTGGTGTTGTTGTTATCCGAGGAAGGTCGCGAGTAGGACGTGGGCGAGGATGTAAAAGAGGGCGACGGAGAAGGGGACGCAGAGACAGGGAACGACGAGGAGGAAGAGAGCGTCGGTGAGGAGGGTGAGGCGGGCAGGCTGCCGTAGTGCTGTTGATGTTGATGTTGCGGATAGTATGAACGATCCTGTCGCTGGATTGGAGACTGGAGGGTAGGCAATATGTGCGACGGCTGTTGATGCTGGCGCTGATATTGGTGTTGCTTCTGCTGTTGGAGTGACGGCTGCTGTGGCTGCCGTTGTTGATACTCGTACTGGTGCTTGTAGTAGTCTGCAGAACCTATCGGCCCAGGGCCATTGTCGAGTGGAAACTGCGACATGGTTTGCAAAGCGCACGCGGGCAGAGAGGCGGCCTGAGACGATGCAGGAGAACAACCCAGTCAGAGACTGGAGGCTGGAAGGGGTGTCGTCACCACGCGGCGGGAGGTGTGGGAGGAGTGGGAGGGAAAGGTCGGGTTGGGATGGAAGCGAGCGGGAGACGTCGAGTGACAGCCAATGGGCGAAACGACGAGAGAGAAAGAGGACGAAGGACAAGAGGAGGACGGGATGTGAGGAGCAACAGGGTAGCCACTGTGCGAGACAAGAAACAAAGCCAAGGCAGTGGGCGACAATCGTGGACCCAGCGAGGGTCTGAGCTCGGCGAACCACAGGGCAGCCTCACAGGAGGTTTCGAGATGCCTGGATAACCCTGATTGACGTCGCATATACTCAGTTGCAGCGGGACGGCAGGCGGTAGCAGCGAAGATAATTCGTATTACTGCAATAATTGACGGGGGGGGGATGCGGCGTGAGGATTCTTGTGAACGGTAAGGCCGTGCAAGCGGGTCAAGTGACAAGAACATAAAGTTTTTGAGTCGGAGCAATTGACAAATTGGCTGGACAGACAACAAGGCAGGCCAGATCAGGTTAAGAAAAATCGCCTCCCAAAATTGGTCAAAGGACGTGGAACCGCCGGCTTACAGACTGCCGGATTGGCTCGGCTGGGGTATTGGCTATTGGCCACTTCGCGCCAGCCAAGCAAAAGAATCGATGACCAGGCGGTAGTACGGGGGAGTGTCGTGCGTTGGTATATGGACGACACCAGAGTGTGGCCGCTGCGTGGTAATTAGGGCTGGTCGTGATGTGGCAGAGAAGAGATTTGAGGCATCAGGAGGCTGAAAAGGCAGACGTCAAAATACACGTATTTCGAAGTATCCCAGAGGAGGGAGTGTTCGGCCCAAGTGGCAAGGTTGGGAAGGTGGACACCGGAGCAAAGACTGGAGAGAGTAACAGATACCCACCTTCCAACCTGCTGACAAGCCAGAACAAAAAAAAAAGGAAATTACGAGCACTGGCGCGCCCCCAAGCAGAGACACCGTCATGCAAAGTACGGCCGGGCCTAGTCGCGATTACCTGAACGGGAAACGGTTTGGCAGCGACTTCCTTTTAGCTCACAGCTGAATGTGCTGGTGGACTTTGGAAGATACGACAAACATGGCAGGAACTGGTATACGCTGGCGTCGCTCCCTGTCTTGAACAGTGCATTCTAAGCAATAACCAGTAAGAGCAACCGAGATACATAAACAAGCTCGCGTGTAGTCAAAGGGGGGGGGGGGGATCTGTTCAAGTCGACATGTATTTTGGAGCAGCACTCCCCGACACGTATCTCACGGCTCGCCGCCACCCATACGACACCATAGACACCTCAAATACCAACTGCCATGAATGTTTCGACAGAACGGCACTGTTGTTAGTGTGGTGCTGGCCCCCAAAACTCGCAAAACGCGCTGCCAGCCGTATTAATACTGCCATATCGACAACGGTCGAATACCCCAGACAGCGCGTGAGATATCTTACACCTGCGTGTGGCCTGTATCACTCTGAGGACCCGCAAGTACGACCCTCCTGACGTCGCAGGCGGGTGGACTAGGCTTCTTACGGAGTCCAGTGCCGTGCGCAACAGGGTTCGCCCGATTTGAGAAGAGGACCCGGGCAGTTTGCCCCTATTTACCTTTCCTCTTCGGGATTTGGACACCACCATAAATCATACTGCAACACAGCACGACTCAAAAAGACGTATTTACGACGTACTTGCAGCAGGAAAACATGACCCCTGAACTGGCTGCCAGAGACGGTGACACGGGGATGGTGCTTTTCAAAAGGTGAGTTATCTTACAACAAGCTCTGGAAGAGCCTCGAAATAAGCCGGAGAGCTGGCCTATTCTGCAGACTTGGCCAGTCGACCATTGCTAGCAACCGGTCGTGATCTGAGACTCTCACGTTATCTTGGGAGCAAGACATTGTCCCAGTCGCGGATCGTCTCTACCTATTCTATTACTTGTACTTCGTACAGAGTCTGAGATGGAGTACGAACACCGCCTGTGTTGCACTCGTCCGAGCAAAACAAAAGTTCACCTCGATGTTGCACTGCCAGGTCTGCGACCTCCACTACGACATACGGATGCACAGGAGCTTGGTTCATCAAAAGTCAGGGCCTGTATTATGGATAGGCACTGACAGTGGCTCTGGTGGAGCCTGCTACTGGAATGAGAAGCGAGCGCCAGGTTTCAAAATGGAGGAACCCTTTGGCAGCGATTTCCCATTGTGGCTGGCTGGCTTCTCACATCCAGTCACCCTGGTTGAAGCACACGGTGATTAGGACTACGACGTCGGCCTGGGACAAGCAACAGAGCCCCTGCTCAGGACTAGAAACGCTCCGCAGATAACGTCTATTGCAGTCCGCTTGTCGGTAGAGCTGTGGAGAGTGCCCCCTTTAACAGCACACTCATTTCGCTACCCCTCTGAAACAGCACGTGTCAATAAGAGCCGACCTCAAAAGTAGAAGAACACAGAACGGCCAACGGCAACCCAAGTTCAGCGGGCAGCAAATTCGCACGGTCCATATAGGCGGGGGATGCAGCTGCCATCGCAGGAATGTATGATGTTCAGGGACACCGCAAGATGTGAAGCGTCGCTTCCTGTTTTTCACAAGTTTACATGTACGAAAGACACATAGGCGAGTGCTCCAAAAACGAAAGTCGATGCACCGCAATTTCGATTCCTTGGCAGCGAACATCAAGTAAGAAAAACAACAGACAGCGGACCCAACCTCCCCAAAGAAGCTTATTCTTCCACCAGCCTCCAGATGTTCATACTATAGTTTGACAAGCGCACCGCTAAACCGACTGGCGCAAACGCTCGTATCCAACAGCTTTGCGCTGGTACAACTGTACAAGTCGACAAACCAGGTCGACCGACATAGGCTCTTAAGTCCACATGCCGTGCTTGCACTGGCGGTCCTGATTTTAACTGGGCCTCAGGGAGCCTGGAATCGATCTTTCATGTGTGTGATCCTTTTGTGTCCATCGCGATCTCGCAGGCTGACAAAAACGCAAATACAGTGGCGCGGATCGCACTGCCAGCTTTTCCAGCCAACCCCTGACGTCGTCTGCCGCCGTTCTTTGCCTTCTGAGGCGCTCCCCCGTTCCATCTCGCCAATTCTTGTTAAGCGACTTGACTACGGGTCAAAGGTTCTCTCCCTCCATTTCTCCTTGCACGTACAGTGTCCTGGTCACTCCATACCAGCCTAAGACAAGCTTGCTGGAAAAGGAAACAGGGCGGCGACAAGCGGCATTCGGACAGCTCTGACGGAAGTTACGCAACAAGCTAATCACCAGCGTACTCCATCTGCCCAAGTGAGAAGTGAGGATATGCAAAGATTCTTACGTCCCTTACGTTGTAAGTGGCATTAGCCCCAGTCCTTGATTGCTGCTTTATTCGTATTGAGGAAACGTCAACGGTTGACGGGGAAAGAGACATAAACGTGAACCAAGAACGACTCGAAGCGGCAATAGGACATAGTCCAATACTCCATTGAGCACGACTCGATTTAGCCCAGGGATTTTATCCAATCATCTGGCATGCCAGCACGTCCACTATCCAACCCCTGCTCTTCTCCAGCGCCAGCCCCTGTCCCCTCCACCCCTGGCGGATCCCTGCCGTTCCGTTGCCAAAGAACACACTCTGAGTTCACGGGCTTGCATTCGATCATGTGAAGCATCTGGAGCGATTTCGCAATCGCCACAGACCCAATTTCGATCTGCAAAGGGCACAAGCTAGGACAATGCTGCAGGCTCCTCATTTACAAGTACGACAGACTCCTGCAGGGCATCGTTAGGGACTCCATACGAAGTGATACATGAAAGCAACCGAGGAGAAGGGTCAGAAAAACCGAATGAGAAGAGAGGAAGCGGAGGCGGGAAACGGCACACCTCACGGCGTTTTCCGCACGCGACAGCGCCGATTCGTTTGAGCATCCCCAAATATACGTGGGCCTGAGGAAGCAGATGGCCGCATCGAAAGATTCAGGGGCAACACCTACCCGCCGGGCAATCCTGGCTCACCAGCCAGCCCTTCCGGGCTGATTCGGGAACTTCATCTCAAACGTGGAAGACCATCTCGGCTCGTGGATTCTCTATCCATCAATCGAGACTCCATCGCCGCGCCCATTTTTGACTTTTTGCTTTCATATACGGCGTGCTGAGTACGGAATACAAGTACACGCCCGCCTTAGGCAAATGCGGGCGAAGGCGGTTCTAGAGGTGAAAGCTGTGCTGGCCAATCATCCACTGTCCCCTGACATATTGTTTGGCGTCGTTAGTTCTGGGAAGCGGTGTGACAGCTCCAACCTTAATCGATCGAGAAAAGGGGATGTTTAGTGAGGCCCAGGCCCAGGCCAAAGCCAGCATGACCCGCTGGCCACATGAATTGGGGATGGCAATTAGTTTTGGGAGCCGTGCGAGAATAAATACCTCCGGCGAATTACAGGATGGTGTGCCACACAACCCGCAACAACGGTCCCATTTGAGTATCGTGGCACACCTCTGACCACTTGTGCCCCCTAGTGGTGCCAGCACCGTCAACGCTGCTAGCATGTTCCGGCCAAGGGCAGCCAAACAGAGACGAAGCCTGGGCCACAGTCGTGATATCCAGCAGACAAGGGCGGGTCTTGCTGCACGTAATTTAACTCTTGGCCAGGCTACGTCGAAAACAATCCCACGCATTGGAGCCAGCACACACGACGACTACTGGCCGGAGACCTCCACTTTGAAAGGGCCAGCAGGCGAAGACTGCATGACATGAAAGAAAACACGGTCTGTCTGGGGAAGAACGACGGCTCTAGCCTCAAACTCGCAAAGTATCGACGACAATACAATGAGCATCTTACCATTGCGCTCTAAAATATGCACTGGGGGCTTGCCTAGCAGGCTGGGCGAAGTATGCATGCACCGCTTCACACAGACTGAGGAACCAGTCAGGACCCGACGGCGTCAAATAAATC